GAAATCTTTTGACTGTATGTGTCCTTTGAAACGGATTCTAACCTCTTCGGTCGTAGGTCTTTCACGCGGTAACATTTATCTGTCAGCATTTAACAAAGAAATGTTGCAATTTTTCTTTGTTTTTAACTTTAAATTTTGCTAGAGTGCTTTCTGCAGCAAAAAGGGTAATAGTGCATTTTCTGCTAGAATTATCGGAGTAGTTCATTGGGACCGAGGCCTACACACCTTTAAGTTCCGACATCTTTTTATTTCTGTTCTAACTAAGAAATGCAATTACTAAGAGCAGTGCTCAGTTTAATTGGTTCTTTGTTATTAAAATTGCACGATGAACCAGTAAATTTAACACAAAAGAAGCAAATTTTGATTTAAAAAAAACGTTTGTGTCGTCAGAGAGAGGCTTATAAGCTTAGATACTGCAAGGTGGCGCCCTTTAAGGGTGAAATTATGACATGCGACGTGGCCTTACAACAACAACAAAAAACTCAAAGTTGGGTTAAAACTGCCACAGCGACCGGCTATCGAGACTGAAGTGCAAATGCAATAGTAAGATACCGAAAAGGGCGTGGCTATTTTTTCGAGGAAGTTTGTGTGCGCTCGAGAGCGAGCGGTCCAGAAATCCGGTTTATTTTCATACGCGTGCATGCTCGGGGAACTCTAGAGAAACTGGAGGATCTGCGAACAGACTACCTTCACCATGCGCTCTAGAGATGAGCTCACCCCTCTCAGAGGGCCTCACTTAAGTGTAGGGTCAATTATTGAAAACGGAAAAAATAAAAACAAAAATGGAAACAAACAAACAAAGAAACTCTTTGAGATCTTAGAACGGTCAACTCCGGCTAAATAACTTTTACTCGGACATTGAGTTCAGGTTTAATTAAAACTGTAGAACTAATTTGATAATGACGACACGAATTGAAAGATACAGGTCACTAACTTATCTTCATTGACTTATCGTTGTCGATCTTAAAACAGCTTGAGCCCCTAGCGTCAGAAGTCTTAGACGAGTAATTGGTTCCCTTGTAAAATTGGACTCTACTGTTATTAATTTAAAACCCTCATATTAAATAATCCTCTCGACCAACAAGCAGTTTAGTCTACTACGTCTCAGTAGGATAATTTCAAGAAACGATTAAAACCAATGGTTGTTAAAAACGATCCTTGAATTGATGACTCTACAAGTCATTCCTATTACCATAAGAGTTGATACCGTGCGTTTATTTTTGAAGACTCGACCTAGCTAGAATTTTCTTAGTTATTCCGTCTGATTTTGAAGTGGCAGGATGCTGTTCTAATTACACGTTTTCTTTTGTACACTTAAATCTGTTTTTTTTTTTGTACATCAACATTCAGTGTTAGACATAGTTAATTTAATTCTTAAGTGTTCTCATGCAGATTTAATTTGCGGGGTTTTGTTAAAAGTATTAGAGTTTGCCTAATTATAATTCTGCCAGCCGACTACCTCCCACAAGGAGGGCGAACGTAGTAGAAGAAATTTTGTTTTGATCGCTCATCTAATTCAGTGTGAATGTTTGTTAAAAAGGGTTAAAATCACCCTGTAACTGAAAAACAAATTTTAAGCACTGTTTCACGTCTGAACTAAATTGAAATTTTCATCAAATATCGCACAAGCCAACAGGCCAGCGATTCTGGAGTCAAAGAGGTAAATGTACTAAATAATTTGAAGTCGATAACTAACTATTTTTAATGTTCATTTGAAATTGTGAGAGGTTCATCATGAGACAAGAGAATAGTAACTTTTTGATGAAAAATAAACCTAGTACTGCTATTTCGATTCCTCGAAACTCAGACGTCGACTGTCATAGAGAAAGTAATTATAATTACGCCCTACTCTTTTAAATTTAGTACAAAATGTATTACTGTTAGTGAAAAATCCGATTATGTAGATTGATGCTTATATTTCAGTTGTCGCCGGTGGCCTTTTGATATTAGTCTTTTCTTTCCCAAAATGGTTACATTTTCGGTGATTTGTTTTAAACATAGATTTGATATGGGGCTAATTAAAGACCACTGTTTCTTATCTGCAAAGAAACAACCCGATTAGACATAATAACTATTACATACATGCAGCAGATATGTCTTTTCACTTGATCTCATGCACTGAGGACAGTCAGGGAAAGACTGGGGTGAGCACCGGAACTTGTCATTAAGTACTTTTGCCTTGGTTCGTCTCAACATCCCGAAAGACTTTTAATGTCATTCACTCTCTGCACTACTCCAACCGGTTCTCCTCAGTAACTATTCCTTTATTTTTGCCTTCAGCTGGCGAAAACAAAAAGCGTACCCTTCAGGTTACGAGACGAAAAAGTTTCTCGTCCCCGTCATAGTTACCTTTTTTGTTAAAAGTTTTTTATATGATCCTCTAAAAGTTTAACGAGAGAGGACTGATCGCTTGAAAGTAAACTTGAATTGAATTTCTGTTGTCAAAGGCCATTAGGGCCTGAGATTGTCCCAAACCCGAGCAACAGTTTTGGAAAAAATAAACAGCATGAGGGCAACTCTTAAACGGAAAAGGACATGTTAAGGGTCATTTGAAAATCACGTTTTATTAAAGATATTCAAATTTTCTGGTGGTCCTAATCATATTAATTTAATTCGGATTAAAAACTGGGTTTCTAGATTTTCAAAAGATAAAAGATAGGAGACAGTGCATCTCTTGAACTAATTTGATCCGTTTCACCTGCTCTGGCTAGCAAAAATGTTGTACTCGATCGTAGTCGATGAAGCCGATGACTTCTTGACTATATAGGAACGTAAACATCACGGTGAGAAAAAGGCGAAGGGGTTACACAAAAAGGCATTGACGACTATTGTGAAAGAGATCTTTGGGACCCCTTAAGGTCCCCTTTTCTGGGTTTCCGAGTCATTCAGACAGGATATTGGCCAGATTTCAACTTGGAAAGTGTTTTTTCTTATGAAAAATGTGACCGATTTCCGTAAAACGATGGAAGCAGGTGTGGGTCCGCGCCTGAGTCGAATTCAAAAGAGGCTAAATTTAAAGAAAACTTTTATACTCAAGGAAACCCATAAGACACCATATTGGTTTTAATACCGTGTTGTTTTATACTCTGACAAAACTGCAAATTTCTTGCGAAGAATGCAATGCTGAAATTAAGAAACTCGGGTCGTATTTGGTTGATCCAGTTAAAACAAATTACTCAGTGCTTCCGCTCTTCGCTTCTGTGGGTGTGGAAATCTATCGCGTTGTCAAGTGGTGTCTTTTTAATACCAAATATTTATTTCAATGAAGATGTAGTATGAATTTTAAGAAATGCACTTGCCTTGAAGTTATTTTGTAATAACCACAGAACAGGTGGTCATAAAAAGTGACTCAGAGACAGATGTTAATCAATGTTTGGCGCACCCAAGTATGAAATTTGCAGGTGATAAAAACTCAGATTAGCTTTCCCATTACGATGATAGTTTGCGATGTAAGTATTAGCTTCGTCTAGTTGCAAGGTTATTTTAAACATCGAAAAAAATTAACATGTATGTTATTAAATGTTACGCTTAAGAGGTGACAAAATGCTTGTCGGCTTGTATCTACTAAATGGTTTTCGATATTGTTCCCTCGATCTCTCACCTTTGCAGTTAATAAGGTTTTCTTTATCTCTCAAAAATATCAGCCACATGTTTCTATTCATTCAAAACTGATATCTTGTCAACTCTACCCAAAACACCACCCTTAGACGGACACGAATTTTTCCGACAAAAATTTCAAAGCAAGTCGTAGTGGTAGTGATGGGAAAAAAGAAAAAAAAATACCATCTGCTCTAAGCGACTCAAGACGCAAAATATCATAAAGCCTGACTATAAGATAAAAATACTAATTAACTTGAATAAAGGCGTCAAAGAGAACTCTTTCCAACATTCTCTCCTCGGTTGTGAACATTGCGTTTTTACTGAGATAATTAACACACAATGTATACATGAATGTGGTTTGCATAGTTAATGGAGTCCAACCCTTTGCCATAAGTGCCACTGAAAAGAAAGATTTTTCCTGATTCGCTATCACCATTACTAACTAATCATTACCTTTGTATTTTAGCTTTGGAGGAATCGAATCGAATAGAATCCTGTTTCCTGCAATTCAGCTAGGTATGCACTGATGAAAACCTTTTAATTTTAACCGTTTATTAGTCTAATAGTTAGTTCCATGCCAGAGTCCTTTGGCCAGTCGTTTTTTAGGCTCTAGTTTTGGCTGTAAAACAGTGTTTCCATCGAAGAACTAACTGATTCCGTTTATCAGTGTATCAGCTCTACTCTTAGAGAAGCAAATCCAACGGCATATTTTACATTAATACAAATATTCACAAGAAACTAGTAGTGATTTCAAACTTTAATTCTTCACTGAGTGCTGCCTCCCTTTCTGATGATCGGAAAAAAGAATGTTTAGATCAAATTTACAACGGTTGGTTTTGCAATGTCTGTCCTAAATAATGTTGTTCAAAAGGGGTAATACGGGTTACAAATAAATGTAAGTTTTCCGATGATTTCATTTATTTAGCATCGGAATTCGTTTTCGTGGGTTATTACCTTTTGCTTCAATATTTTACGTTCTTTTCGGTAGCTAATAACCAGTTTTCGTCTGCTTTTATTCTTAACTTAAGAAAAAAAAACTTCCGTTGTGGACATAAAAATTGCCGACCCTTTCTTTCTTTTGAAAGGGAAGCCTAATTTCAACTTACCATACTTTTAAAATCCGCATTATTATCCTTCACTTCCTTGAAGAGACAGCTGTACTAATGTTGGTATCCCTGTTACTATTGACGAGATTCAGCAGCCCTGTGGCCTTGTTACCGCATGGTTTGTTTTTTAATGTTCGCCCCAAGTAAGGTAGTCGGGATTCCCAAATCCGGGAAGTTTTGCTTGTCGAATCGGGAATCCTGGGCTCTGGAATCCGGAATTCACATCAAGGAATCCGCAATCCCGCTAACGATTGATGAAAATAAAACTAACCTGTTATTGTTACCTTTATTTAGGGTGGATATGAAGGTTGGATCTTCGGTGTTTCTTCTCCTGTTGCTGGTGGAACTATCTCCGACTTTGGGCCGGCGAAAATCAATTCATGCACCTGGAAGGAAATGTCGTGGTGGAGGAATTTGTAGATATAAAATACATGAACAATCGTCTCGGCCAGTGAATCTTCAACTTTGCGGCAATGATATTATAAAAGCCTTCACAAACATTTGTAGACTGGGGGTTAAACGAAAGAGAAAGCGAGGTAAATAAATATGACCAGATTGGCCATCATGATATTTATGCACACGATTTCCACACGGGTGGTTCGTGCAAATGGTAATCAACCAGATCTTATCTCGTACATACAGTCGAACCTCCATGTGCGACCATCTCCCATAAGCGACCACCGCCCATAAGCGACCGCCAATCCAAAACACCAAAAAGTTATTATTATTATTATTATTATTATTATTATTATTATTTTCCCAGACAAAAGCTTACAGTTGGAACCTCTAGTAAATGAGCGACCCCTTCCTGTAAGCGACCGCGACCACTTTTTGGGCCTTACTGTTAACGATTTTCCTTTGTTTTTAACCTCTTATAAGCGACCACTTGTCGAATTCTCTGATCTCTATTTTCGCTGTGTGCATTATGTTACTTAAAATATACGAAGAACTGAAGTGACAGCATGGAATTATATATATCCTAACTTAGACACTGCATGCAATAAATTACCTTCCATAAAGTAGATGTGCGTGAACCTCTTCTCGGAAGAGACCTCCTGTGGTTCGATTCTTGTAAACGACCACCTCCCATAAGCGACCGCTCAGTATTTGCATTTTGGGTGGTCGCTTACGGGAGGTGCGACAGTAGATTAGACGGCTCACTGGCATCTGACCGTGGGAGAACTGGGTAGGAGATAAATGTTAATACTTTCCAACGTCCCAGTCTTTTTCAGTGCATAGAATCAAATGCCGGGATTTTGTTCATCCGTTTCCAAGAGAAGGAAATTCCTTTAGAAATAAAGGAGCAGCTTTCATAAAGTGAAAGGACCCGTTTATTCATGATGTTCGTTAACAAAGACTTCTGAAACTGTTACCAGGGACAGGGAAAAAATTGGCCGACAGCTGACCGGCACGTTTCCAGTAACGATCCCAGCCTGAAACAATTACGGGACGCATTTCGGCTCCGTTTTCCTTTTTGTCACTAAATGGGCCAATCGGATAGCTGGATTCAACTATCTGTGTTGTGATTGGTCATAGTTCCGCTGCGAATCCTTGCTGACGTTTTTTTTTTTAGAATTTTGTTTAAATGTTATAAAGGCTCTTTTAGAAAGGGCATCAATGCAAGGCATTATAAATTCTTTCTATAAGTCATTGAAGATGATTTAAATTATCAATAACTTTGAGATTTTCCTTGCCCACAGATATCAGCGTTGACCTGATCATTCAAACGAAGAATGAAGCCCAAGATTTTCTCTCACTGACGAGAAGAAGAAAAAGATCCTCGACTGATGTGATTGAAGAATGTTGTGGCGAGTGGTGTAGAGTAGAGGAGCTTAGAGAATATTGTCCTTGAACAGGAGAAGGCGATTAATAAATGTCGATTCTAGGCGGAGCTTACTTTCCGGGCTTTGTTTAGCCCATTCAAGTTTTGCTGGATAAGAAAGAAGTATCACTGAAAAACTTTGTGAATATGTAAAAATGAACAAGCTTTAGGATAAAATATTATATATTTGTCATTTTATAAAAACGTATTGTTAAAGAAGTGGACCACGTAATTTGTGGTTATTAGATAAATGAGCCTCGACATCAATAGCTTATAGTCAGTTTCGTGTGGTTAGTTGTGGTGGATAAACGACCATATATATAAAAATAACAGATATCCTCTTTTACGACTGGACAAGTCCTATGAGACTTTATACCTTCAAGCAAGAGAGAATGAGTTAGATCATCCTCTCTTGCTTCAAGCTACTTGAAAGACGAACAATTAACAGTCCAATGAGATCTGATAGGAAAGCATTTACTTCACTTGTTCAGGTTTTTTTCATTAGTTTCACGCTCTCTGAAACTCATTTATCTAATTTGGATTTCCTTTCCTAGACCAAATGCTAAAAAGTTCTAGGTTTGAGTGAAAATTCGGGGCTAGACATAATTCGACTGTCTATCATCTTGAGATTTATTTAATGGGCTTTAATTTTGCTGAAGTGATATTATATTGTTAATTTGCAGTCTTCTGTTGGTAATGATAGAGTTAATATCAGGATCACAATTGGGAGTTCATCTGTTCATTGATCATGGTAATTTTTACTCTAAAACCACCACTCCTATTCCAGTTTCATCAACGTTATTCAGTGACGGATCCAGGGAAGGAGCCAGGGGGGCTCGGGCTTCCTTTTATTTTTAGACCAAATTGAGGCCCAAAGGGCCGAAAAAGTTTTTTTAGAGACCACACCCCCTCCCTTATCCCAGGGTCTGGATGACCGCCCCCCCCCCCCCCCCTCCCCCTCCCTCTTTCTTTTCCCCCCCTTGTTTTTTTTTTTTTTTTTCTCTTTTCTAGTCTTTTTTTTTTTCTCATTTTATCAAATAAATAATAAATTATAAAAATACTATTTTTTTTAATTTAATTATAAAAAAAAATAAAAAAAAAAAAAAAAAAAAAAAAAAAAAAAAAAAAAACAATTACAGCATACTGATATTGTTACGTGAAAACACTCCCCACCCGCTTTTTCCTGAATGGTCACATCTTACCCTTCCCCCCCCACTTACCTGAAGTACTGGATTCTCCACTTGTATTATAGTCAGGTGACGTTCACGTATAGACCTCTTTTAGATCATATACCGATCCAAAAATTAACTGGGATGAAAACCTTTCTCTTTATGGAAATTAATAGAATAATGACAGAGAGAAAAAAATGAGTCCAATCAACAAGTCAATTACCATTAGGCCTTAGTTATGTTATTTATGGTTTAAATTATTTACCCCCGGGCTTCGACCCTTGTTTTGTACAGATGAACGACGTTCTTCAACGACGAGCAAATCATTAAACATATTCTGTAAAATTCATTGATCATTCGTTAAAGTTATGACCAACCGAAAGGTAGTATATTGAATCACATGACATGTAAACTCTTTAGGCTCCAACTACAAATAAACTTGAACAGCAGAATTAACTTTGATGCCAAATGTTGTAGCGCAATTTACATTTGACACAGCAGATCTCTATCCAAACTGAATGCTTCATTTTAGTGGTTTCCGATCTGTATAGAGCTCAGCAATTATCATAATAATTACCGTCAGGTTCTAGTAAACACTGCTACTTACTGAAAGGGTTGTGTCAAAATAGCCCCCTGCTTAACCTGCTTGTCCCTCCCCCCACCCCCCAGGCCTGGGCCACCAATCCACTGTTAGGGCAGTCCCTGGGCTATCCAGCTGTGCCAACCAAAATAGCCGCCAAATTAAGCCCCCTCAATTTTTGGAGACCGCACTGGCCTGGAGTCAGGCTGCTCCCGGCGCTAGGCGAAAGCCTCGTGGCCACGTTTTCGAATTCAGACAGATATATAGATTCAGCTAAGGCCAAAAGCGAAGCTCCGGGGATATTTTCACTAGCAAAATTTCTTGGATGCATAGATAACCAAATTTTCTGACCCATGGTGCTGTACTGCAAGCGCTTCGCGCGCGAGAGAGATCTGCTATGCGAAAACACATTCACCGCTTTTTTCGCTCACCAATCTTTTTCCCACCTTTACCTACTTACAAAAATTCTACCCAGCGCAAAATAATATGCATTTTATTGACTGCAAGGCATTATAATCCATACAGTAAAGCTGAAATGATTTCTTTATAATTCTTGAACATCAACAGCAGTTTATATTTTCCGAATTGCTTTAAAAACAGTACTCTTTGAGTTCCTCTATTCTACAAGTTTCAACACAGCATTCTTCGATAACGTCTGTGCCCTTTCTGCCCCTCTTTTGCTTTCTAAAGGAGAGAAAGCTTTGAGCTTCTCGCTTCCCTTGAATGAATAAGTCAGTGGTTATATCTGGTGGAAGAAATACGAAAAATGAAGCTTATTAATTTTGGTAAAGTTTCGTTAATTTATGTCCTAAATACCTGGAGAAACAAAATTTTAAAAACCCGGAAAATCTAAAGATTCTGGTGTCAAGAGGTAGTATGACATAAACCTCCAGCCATATATGCAATGAGGAACTGATATTAAGATTGAGAGAGTTATTTCAATTTTTTTCAAATGTTTTGTTGAAAACATTATTTTATTACATAAGATTGTTTACCTACAAGCAATAGGGTCTTAATGAGTTTCATTGGCGATTTTCAGATTCTCTCAAGGGTGCTAAGTGTGTGAAACGTTTCAACCCAGGAGTCTTTTCATATGCAGGTTGAGTATTTATGATCGTCCTGGTGAACGCAGTCCTGAATATGACTTTTGCTGACAGTGACTGACGTTTCAACAACCTGTGTAGTAGTCATCTTCAGAGTCAAAATATATGAGTGTATCACGTCAGTTTGATGGTATTAAACTCTGGTTACGTTATTGATCTGATTGGTCAATTAGTTGGCTATGAAGAAACGCACCAATGACATTTACTACGAGTTTTCATAGCCAATAACATCACGGCTTAACTGGCAGTCGATCAATAACATCGCGACTTAATTGACCAATCAGGTCAATAAATCAGAGTTTGATAACATCAACTGACGTATTACAACTCACTTTTACTCTCCTGGAGATAATTGACTACCGCACAGGTTGTCGAAACGTCAGCTCACTGTCAACAAAAGTCCTATTCAGGACTAGTACGTTCACCCGGACGATCATACTTAACGTACTTATGCTGCTAACTGTGTTGTTGAGAAATGTGTCAGATGGAGCGGTTTTCTGTTCAGTGTCATAAATCAAAGTACAGGCAGGGACTCTGTCAAATGAGCCAGTCAGGCCTTAAAGTAAATATATGAAGCCCAAACGCGGGAAATTAAAACGTACGAATTCAGTTTTTAGTTTTGGTTAATCGAGAGTCCAGACGGTCAGGTGATCATTTTTCGACCAATCATGACACGGAGCAAGGCAGAACTATAATTACCCTCGAACACTTTTTCTAAACGGTCGCTCTTAGTTGAAGTCTTGGTCATGTTCTCTCCTTAGAGGTCCTTAGGTTAACTCTGGATGCAGTTTCCTTAAAGAGATCGTGAAGGCGAAGGCTACAGTCTAAACACTCCCTTCGTAAAAAAGCTCCGAAGGATATTAAAGGTGATCCTACACGTGACAATTCTCAACAACGCTTTTTAGCCCAACACACTGCCAGCGTACATTGCTATAAGGACATTATTTCGACATTGTTGCAACATCGTTAAAACATTGCAACCATTGTGTTGTGCTTGTGTCCTTGCAAATCGTCCAGTGTAGCATCACCTTAACCGAATGCTCTCTCCCTTGCAAACGGAGAATTCGACTAAATAATATACTAGTTTGTTAAAAGTGTATGCCGAGGGTCCTCAGTAAGGTTCTCCAATCTCGTTATTCCGACCCCAAATTTCGTGCAATCCAGTAATCCCGAGGGCAATTTTTGGTATCCCTCCTCCCGCTCATGCTTTCAATCCCGAATCCCGAACTTTAAATAAGGGAAATCCGGTATCCAAAAAACCTATTGGGACCCTCTATGCTACTAACCTCTCTTGCGTCCCCTTTTCGCCCACACCTTATCACCACAAATAGCCGAGTAATAATCCATTATCCTGTCGCCACAAAGCCTTGGAAGGTCCACTGGAATCGAGGAATGTTCGTTTACTTTACACCTCGCTCCTCCGCATTTCCACCCCAAACTTGGCGATAGGTCTAACAGCAACACCAGAAATAACACGATGAATCCAATCAACTTGCTCATCCTATAGAAACATGATATTCATTATTCTTAATAGCGCGGTTTAAGCATTCCTTCGAATTCCGTACAACTCCCTTTTAAGATGATTCGAAAATACAGAGCTCGCACAAGCTCATTCCTTGGTTTATCCCAATCAATTTCTTTCATTCCCTTAGATGGCGAGTTGTTCTTGTTTTGTTCAGCGGACTAGGCATGCAACAGCCACCACCCTAAGTGCTGATTTTTCGCTTTTTTATCAAATGTATTTACTTTAAAATGTTGTTTACAAATAAAAGTAGCCTTCATATAAAATAATTTGTGGCAGAATGAACGATATTCTTCGTCTCAGTAATAGACAGTACGACTTGCTGATCGAAAATAATGACTTCGATAGGACGAAACGAAGAACACATCGGCCCTTTAAGATGTCAAGTGTCTTAGCTCTTCGTTACATCGAGTCTCCAGTGAGTCAGTGCTTTACTCAGGACAGCCGGCTCCCAAAACTGAATTCATTATTTTTTCATTGTTAAAGTCGGCCCGAAGTCTTAGTTACTTTCTGAGTTCAAATTACATCAGGTGCTGTTATAAGGAAAATCGCAGTTAGCACGTTAAGAAGTAGTGATTTGGTTTAGTGCTTGAAAGTGATTCTTTTTCAGGTTTTGTGTACTGACGCATGGTCACCGGCAACTATTGGAAACGGCGTGTTTGATATTTGGGCGTTGACGAGTCCAGCATAATAAGCCAATGGTTTAATGGTTTACAATCCTACCAAGAAAATATAAGTCAAGAGAATGGGACATAGTCAATGAGCCGGATGTATAATATTATATACATCAAAAAAAGTTAGTCTGAGAACTGTCCTATTTTCTCTTTCTTTTCATAGCTTGAAATAAGAAGCAACTTTTATGTTACATTTTAACTGCTCTCGACTAAGCTTGTACTGAGCCGGATCATTTAAGTGATTTAAGTAAAACTTTGACGGCCCATTGTTTTTCAACTAAATCCTTTTCCTCCATGACCATGCAGGTATACATGTATTCAGGCTTACCTAGGGCCAGCTAATGACTGAGTATTTCCAACCAAGCTATGATTAATCTCGATGAATGCGACTACTAAAAATGAACACTCTTCATATTACTCTCTTTAGTAGGGATACCACTCCTGCAATTAACGCTGTAACTACTGGAGTGAATATATAGTGCCGGGAGGCACCAGAAACGATAAATAATTAAAATGAAACTTAATTTAGTTTACGAAATCAAACTTTAATTGGGAAATTATATTCCTTGATCTCAATAGAGAACACACTCCACTTTTATCTTTTACTCGGACATGGTACAAGGTGCATGCAGCTTTTTTTATCTACGGTTGTCGTGACCTTTCACATCGTGAAAGTATGAATTACACGAAAGTTATTCTTTTTAATTTTTTCTTTACATTTTCAACCGTCTTTTAGTTGGTGAATATTAAATTTTAATATTATTATGGTAAAAATGACAGCGACAGGATTATTCAGATTATCTGTCATTGGGGGCATAACATCAACATTAACTAAAATTAAATTCGGCGCTTGTACCGTGCTGACGATATAAATACAGCAGGCAGGAAAGTGCCGCAAAATGCATGACTGTACGTTTCAATTTTCTTTTCCCTTTTTAGACAACTAACATTATGTCCTACCAGTGCCGATAACAAGAGTGTTCTTTACAACGATGGGTTTTAGAGCCAGGTCGTAATTCATAAGCATATGGCAATATTTTTTCCTTTGTGAAGCGGAACTTTTTCCAATATTAACAGTCTCTGTTGTATAAATAAGTTTCGAGAATTTTGATTGAATTATTATGTTGAATGTACTTGAAACTGCCCCAAATTTGTTCCTTTGTAACATACGTTATCAAGAGGCACTTCTTGTAAAGGAAACAGCGTTCTATAAGAACAAATACTTAGCAATGTTTCGTTTTGGTAAAAAATTTGGTAAAACTCAAGCTTGAATAAAATCTATTTGAACTTATGGCTTTGTTTTTTGTCCTTATTCAGTCCTGATTCACAGATTAGTGTGCTCAACTCAATTCGGATTCCGAGTTTCACTAAAAAAGAGGTCTGAGAAAAAACAAAGTTTATTCCTAACTATAAAGAGATTGGAAAAAATAAAACTCTAGAAATGTTGCCATTTGAGAATAGCTCGAATTAGTGAAAAGTCAACATGAGGTTTAAGGACCAACCGGAAATACGCGAGGGAATGAAACGAAACTTTTGTAAAATTACAAACGCAACAACTGATCAACTTGTAACCTTAACCCTTCAAAGGGTAATAAAGAACTGTCCAGTGTTCTTTCGGCATTGGGTGAAAATGCGCACAAAATCGTACATACGTCATTCCAAGCGAACGGAAAGAGGCGAATGAACTATGTGGAATTTAACATGAGAAGTGAGAGACAAACCCATTTTTCTTTTTCTAGCTATGATGATTAATGCATGAAGCCTGTCTCCTCCCCGCATACACAACGATTTTTGCTATGATCGTGTTGCAAGTTATTTTCGCGTTTGCCTTTTTCTTTTCGTTCCTAACCGTTACATCAATGTAAATTTTCACAGGAAGACTGAAACTAATATCTTCAACTTCCAAAAAGAAAAATACTACGATTCTATGATTAGATAGCCCCGAATGTTTCGAATTAAAGTGAATATTGTCTATAAAGCTGTCTTTTGTGCGCTCAAAGGGTAATTTCTGGTCGTTACAAGTTTCTGATTGGTTATTAAGAGTATTTGTTAATTTTCGAGCGATGAAAATTGTATTATTTGGTTTAGACTTTATTTCCATTCGTTTTGGGGTGTGGTAATGTATGGTAATGATAAACAAAGGATGATTAAATTCAAACCAAGGGTAAAGTTGAACCACAACATATCAAAGTGAGTCCAATTCATAGTTTTGTTCCAACAACAGCTAAACTGCGATAGTTTTAAACAAAGCGCAGTTTCTAAGGTTGAATTTATGTCTCTTTTGCAAATAACGCCAGGAAGTGATCATAGAAAGTTCTTTAATAATTAAAGGTACTTCCCTCGCCAAGAAGTCATTAAATATTACACGTTAACCTTTGTTTCTTCAACTATATAATTTCATTGTTTCATAGAAATTCGTTAAAACTTAAATAACTAAAATCGAATGCTTATGCTCTTGTTATGCAAATAAAATTAAATAAATTATAAAGCGTCCCTTTATCGTTTGTCTCGCGAAAATCCATTAGATATTGATCGCGACCGGCGTTTCGACTGCTTACAATCTCGTTCCCTGGGTGGCTCTATGCTTCAAGCAAGAACCCTGGTTGCAGCTGGTCACTTGGCTCCCAGAATCAGGGAACCAAAAATAAGGGAGGGGAAGAAGAGCAAATTATTGTCGCTATGACAAAAGTTACTCTGTCGGGACCCGAGAGGAGTTTGCCGCCTCCTTTATTATCAGCTGATGGCGCGGGTATTCAAAAATGTCAACAACACCGAAAAAATAGTAATGCATAATGCATGAGAGAGAACGCTGGGAATGAGTTCGGCTATTCACTTAGCTTCTTGGTGTATCGTGCACCAGCCGTGAATTGACCGAATCGGAAAATAACATCATAATCTTTAAACTACATTCTAGGTGTGGTGTTTCATTTGGACCTGACTTTTGGATTATCTTTTCATTTTCATGGACTGCTAGTTTACGAAAAACTTTATAGTATCCTGTTGGCAGGACGGCGAGCTAATCAAACCCTCTAGACAAACCCTCTAAACAAATAACCAGTTTTACCTAAATGCTATCGTTACTAGTGGCTGAAAGCAACGCAGTTTGCTCGCAACTCAGAAACTCAACCGCCATTTTGAAGCAAGAATTTTCTCCCTACCCCAGATAGTATTTCATCGTCCAATAGACAAAATTTATGGAGGACCTACCCCCGCTGCGCAATTATTGACACACATTTCCACGTGACCAGCCTTCTCGAAGCTAGAGAGAGAACCCTGGGAACGAGGTTGGTCCGCGTACTGCAGGTTCTCGTCAGATTGATGTCGATTTACTGAGCGGGAAACTAAAGGTACCACTTTCAAAGGAAGGGTGGTAAATGTACGCTTAATACATTACAGTTACTCTCCAAATTGAGGCGAAATGAGAAATATTTACATTCAAAGGTTAAGTAGAAATAATATATCATAAGGGAAAGGATGATATTAAGAAACATCAGAGTTTAAGACCAAAAAACCGAACAGTGACCAAGGTTTCAGTTGTTTACACCGTCGGATTTCTTATGATTATAGCGTGACTTAAAAAATTACTTTCCACCTAAAATTAATCATGACTATGGAAAACTCGTGTATCGCGGCTAAAGATTTCGAAATTTAATTGTATGTCACCGATAACCTAAGATGACTAGTCTCCAGATTGGGGGGATGGGGGAAAGGCAACAAACGAGGCGAAACAACCCTCCCCCCCCCTTCACCCCCCCCCCCAACCCCCCACTCCCACCAAAAAAAAAAGACAAGGAAAAATCTACTTGGTGAGCGAACCAAGCCGGACGGTGGACTGGGAAGGGGCACTTGCTGATTTTTTTTTTTGCCTTTTTTCCCACTGCGGAGCCTGGTCCCAGGCTAGTCACCGAAGGAAACTCGGGCGCTAACATTTACATGAAATAATTCAACAGCAATCACAAACTCATACATTCACAAAAGCTCGTTCACAAGGGCTGCTTTTATTTCTGTGGGATTCCATTCACTGACAGTGAATCCCGACAGTCAATGGGGAAATATAGTATAACATAGCGCGCGTGCTTGCCCTATATAAGTCCTATTAAGCGACTATGAAAGAAATATTTATTTGAGCACGCTCGCCAAGAAGCTGGAGTTGCTCTCGGCTGCGCCTTGAGCAACTTATACGCATCTTTCGTGCTCTTCAAACTTCCCGCGTCCATCCATAACTCGATATACGCACGTTAAGCATGAATAAATTCTTAACTGTTTAGCTAAAGAATAAAGCAGAGTGATATGATGTTTCAACTAGCCTGTGTACAGCCACCCCCTCCGTGATCCACTCTAACAAAATCGGGGAGATTTTGTTTGAGAGCAGCCGAAGGGGCGGCTGGATACAGGCTATATTTCTACTTGCAAGTTGTTTAAATGCCTTAGGGATGATTTCCAGAGTCGCGTAATTTTTTTGGAACCCCGCTTAACTTCGCATTCAAGCCAGTCAGTACTTTTATCTTGCCTCTGTTTTATTTACGTGATTAAAATTTGCGTACGTTAACGTGCCTAGTCCAAAACGCGTCAATTGAGATGAAACTTCATACTTAGTATGTTTATTTGGTTCATATTTCACTAGAATTGAACTAAAATAAAAAGTGTCTAAATTTTGGTTTATTTGACCTTTAAGGTGGATTTTCACTCTCGCGTAATTTTTACGTGTTTACGCACGTACATCATTTTTTACGCGCGTAAATAAAACAGAGATAATGTATTTACGGTCGCGCGTAAACGCAAAAGTTGAACCTAACTTTTACGTTACACTGCCTCTATTTTATTTACTCACGTAATTTAATTTTAACCATATTCCGGCGGCTTTGTTAATATTATGTCTATTAGGTAGAATAGTTAACTTGGCTTAATTATAAGCGTCAAATATTAAGACTCCTACATTATACGTACTGTAAATGAAGATGGAAAATTCACATTAAGCCCGCATAAAGTTCTGTAACTAATCGACAGTTTGCTCTGAAAAGTGATTTCAACATTCACAACACAGCATCTTTTCACCAACATCACCACCCTTTAGGATGTAACCGTATTTGATTCTGAATCGACTGACATGAACGGCGAGTCTTTAAAGCTACTGGAAGGCGTGTAGTAGATGCTTCTCGTGCTAGTTGTTGAGCTCTCGTATATAGCTGTAGGGCTCTTGTGCGTTTCTAAAGAGTTGTGAATTTCCGAAGTGTAAGATTTAGTAACATCCTCATCAAGTAGCTTTTGTCTTGGATTTGATTCTTCTTCTTCGGGGTCCTTATTCTGAAAACGGGGCAACCGGTTAGTGACCAGAAATATGCATTCTATGCATCCACCTTATAATTTTTGAACCCAATTCAACTACCGAGCATTATCTCACTACCAGTCTTACTAATAACCGTTAAATTTCAGCTAGCACAGTAATGAAAAACAAAATAAGCAATATACATTGTATAAAAGTACTGTCAGAGGCATGGAGAATTGGGACAGAGACCCGGTGCCGCTTGTTCGCGCCTGTTTTCGCAGCTTTTTTGTTAATTCCTCGCGTTAAAGGGGCTGTGTCACGGCAGTCCAATTCATTTTGTTTAAATTTGGCAATTACTCACCCTCAATCGCTATGGAACTTAAAGTAACCAAAGAAATCTCATGCAAATGACAAAATCAGAAATTCGAGACAAACAAATATGTCTCCTAAGCATTATTTTTGAAATTGCAAACAGCAAAGATAAACGTTGAAAAACTGTTAGGCTCAATAGTTTTCACTGAAAACCCTAATTTCAATCCGTTTCAATCTTCTTCAGTTTTACTCATCCGTGGAATTTGTTATATCTGATGTGTTATTTTAACCTTCATTTAATGTTTAAAGCGGTTATTTTTATGTTCCTCTTAATTCAACAGGCATTTTGTAATTACCATGGCTGAATTTCGTGACACAGCTCCTTTAAACAAACCTCCAGATACGCTGGCTAAATTGTTAGCTGACACTTTGTTTCCATATTTCAGTCTCAAACAAACACTTCCTGGCCTGTAAGGTCCAGTACCTTTATTTTGTACGTCAGCTGAGTATTGCATTGGATGTGATTTTACAACATGAAAAAAGAAAGTTACCCTAAGGCCTCAGCGACAGCACCCTATCCTCTTTCCTATTAAGTGCCCCCTCCACCCCGTTCTGCGCGTGCGTTTCTTACAACAAAAATACAGACGCAGTTAATCGATAAACCGATAATCGATAGTAATCGATAGAAATCGATATCAATCATCGATGAATATCGATTTCCGATATCAATCGATAGAAATCGATAAAGAAAAAGTTGACTTCCATTAATATCGATTTCCGATAGAAATCGATAATAATGATTGATTTATCGATTGTTATCGATTACTATCGATTATTATCGGAAAAGAAGTTCAACATTTACACGATATTGTCGATGTTATTGAGTCATTCAGTCGTGATATTATGCAGTTCTTTTAATTGATAAAATACTAAAAGAACAAACAGCAACAAATTGCAATTTGTTTTGATTTTTTTGCTTAAGCGCAGTTCATAATAAGGAAAGAAATTGCTGCGAAAGTGGCAGAAAATAACTCTCTGTCGCTGTAGCATCAGTACGACCTCTTATGCCAAAAGATGGCAGCGATGTGGAGGTCTTCGATGCCTGTGTATATACCGAATTGAATTGGATTCTAGTGTCGGCGAGATTAGCCTGTGAAAACAGCCGTTTCTCGTGGCTCCTCGCCGCGAGGAAAGTTTCGCCAGGAGAAACGTCTGATGATGGAGGAACATACTGATGACGTAAAATCTGTCCAGAATCTGGTCAGGAGCTTTGATTGGTCGACATAATAGTTATATTGTTTTACCTATTGTTTACGAATGACAGACAAACGACAAAAGGCCATAAAGGTAACATGTAAACCGGGTGGTATAAAACGTGATGAATCCACTACAAAACAGTCAATGTTCCTGGAATATATTCCTCTTTAGGGAAAACATCTGAGTTTTGCTGCAGCTCGTTTGCAGTAGAACACAAAACTTTACCATGATCGACCAGGAGAAAAATGAAATAAAAAAAATTACATTTGGAACCCCACGACTACCCGGATTTAGTGTGTAAACATTGATTTACGTCATCAGTATGGAATTTTTGTCGCTAAGGCGCCGACGTCCCTCCTGGTAAAACGTCCCAAGCGGCGAGGAGCAAGGAAAAACGGCTGTATTCGCAGGCTACCGCGAGGTTGCAAGGAAAGAAATGCAAGATGCAGTCGATAGCGTAGAATTGAATGGACATGTAAAGATCCATTAAAACAAACCAGGAAAAGAAAGAAACAAAAAAATGGAACGTGATGAAGACTGCGCCTGGAGTAGTTGCTGAAGTCAAAAATAAAACGTTTTTTTTTAAAGCCTAAGCCATTCTCATGGGTGTTGCTTGCCAAATATCATCGTCATGTTCAGAATATTCACTTCAAGATTATTGCTTGTTATCGATTACTACCGATTGCTATGGATTTTTATTGATCGATAATCATCGATAAACTAGTTTTTTCTGTGATATCAATTGGCGGATTAAATCGACTGATATCGATTATATTGATTGATTTCCGATATCTATTTCTATCGATTAACTACGTCTGGAAAAAAAAAGCCAGAAGCGTTCCTGTTAAAAAGCACCTTTATAATAAGAACAAAAGCCAGTGCTGAACTTGGCAAGTACGGTTTGGATAATTTGAGTCTTTTTGGCAAAACGGCTGCTTCAGCTAAATACCGTAAAATTCCGAAAATAAGCCCCGGGGCTTTTATTTTTCAAAGACCATTTTTGAGGGGCTTATTTTTGGAGTGGCTTATATTCGGAGGGGCTTTTCTACGAAGGGAAATTTGCGTTTCAAAATCGATTGGGCTAGTCTTATAGTTGGAAGTAAATTTACCGTTTTTGCTTTGTATTTGAGGGCAATTTTCCACGTACAAGCCCCCGGGGGGCTTATATTTGGAGGGGCGATTTAATGGAGGGTTTTTTGCGTTACCGGTTTGGGGGGTTTATATTTGGAGGGGCTTATGCATGGAGGGGCTTATTTTCGGAATTGTACGGTATGCGTGTTTGGCTGAATCTTCAAGGAAGAAACGGTGAAGGATGGTCACAGAATCGTTAGCCAGCAACTCCGCTGACCATATGTCTTCCCCGTCTCTGTGTGTTGCGAAAGCAAAAAAGATGACTTGAGTTTAGTTTTCGTTGTCGTAGCTACGACCATTTTTTTAGAGACAGTTCTAACCAGTGATGTGTTATAACAAATTATTGGATTGTTATCACGACCTACGACCTAATTTTCAGAGGCTTTGATTTTGAAAGCCTCGCTTTTAAGATGAGTTGTGTAACAAATTATTGGATTGTTATCACGACCTACGATTTACACGAAAGACAAGAGGTTGGGACCGATGAAAACAACTGATATTCGCCTTTGCCCTTCCTTCAAAGCTTCAAAATTCATTTTTACCGAAAACATCCATCCCGGGTGAAGTCAACATCAGTGTCTTCGCGACAGTTCTCTTATTTACAATCTAATGAAGCAGTTTTATCGGAAGTAGAGCATTACAATTATCGTGCCGTCGATTGCAATTATATCGTGTTCAATTCCCCAACAACTTGGAATTTAAAAATATCACCTTCCATTGCAAACGATCACAAATTAAGCATGTGTGTGGAGCGAAGACGTTGTCACGGATTTTAGACTTAACAAGCGAGAAAATACCTTTTATAAAGACCTGAGACACCTAAGTGAAATCTCTTACCAATATACCCTGAAGGATTACGAAAACTTCTAAGAAAATTTAACCGCGGATAAAATATTAAAATATTCAAAACACAACAAACCTCTTCGCAACAAGAGCTAGTAAGAATTGAACTCATGAATTTCCCCATCGACATAGAACTTTTCGGAGCTTCGTCGTCAGGAAGAACAGGCTTAAACCGTGTTTAGTAGAGAAAGAAAACGTGAAGCGACTTATTCTTTCCGTGCGTGGACCACAATTACCATGATGCAAGAGTCAACATGATGGTCACGTCACGTCTGTGTCACATGAGTGTCACGCTATGGACATGATGGAGGAAGGTCTGGGGAGAGTATTTCTTGGCACGAGCTCCGGGTCTTCACTCAATGTATTTGACTTGTTTAGAATGAAGTCTGCAGAGTGAGAATTGAATAAGTTTTTTTTTTTTTAATTGTTGTTGGTCATTCCACGCTAGCCAGAAAAATTTTCAGAGGCTTTAATTTTGAAAGCCTCGCTTTTAAGATGAGTTGTGTAAACTTTGAACGATGTTGAGTAATCTAAGTTGATTATTGACAGTATTTAAAAAAGACAAAATCACGAGCCATTATAGAAATGAAAAGACCTCCTCGAACCTTCGACCTGCCTTCAGCTTCTGGTACTTAATATTGTTATTAGCACTGTAAATTTGCAAACCGAAAGCCCAAGTTGTTCGTTTTAAGTGAATATAATTGCTAAAAAGGTTTCCGGTTGATTACTTCTGATTGTTTTCAGACTGCTAGCCGTGAGCATATATCGATAGTTTCGGTTGTCTTTCGACAAGGCCGCCACGAAGGAACTTGTGCGAGGAAGAATCGCTGAAGCCCATAGGATTTAATCTAACTGAGGATTTATCGAAACTTTTATCGACTTCAAGATCAATCCAAGAAGATCGTAAAGATTTGAGGTCAGTAATTTCAATTAATGCGTGGTGTAAACAATCTACTCTGCTGACTTAAAATACTCAGAAATAGCGATCAGGCTCTGATCAGATCTGTTTAAGTAATATTGGTTTGAGAGGGACTCAACGTCATATTCCGTGTACTGTGATTATGAGCCAAATGGCGCCTAACAAATAGTCGAATGTACAGTATTGAAGTGGCAGAAGCAATATACCCTTATGTGTTTAGCGACGATTGATTTCATACGTCGTTGATTATAACACTGTCATTTTGGTGAGCATATTTCTGGATTATGTTTGACTAATTTATCCACTTATGCCCGGCGACGATAAGAACCAAAAGGGATTAAGAGAAAGAGTTAGCTTCGGCTTACTTCGAGTGGTAATGGCTGAATCGTTGACTCCTGAAAAATGCAGATCTCGCGGAATATGTCTTCGCTTAACCGCAGTATTTTTTGATAGAGAATTGACAGGTTTGTTAATGATCTAACAGGAAGCAAATGATTTATTCGAATCATTTATTGGCTTTCTCGTGCATCGTACAGCTGTATGTCCACGCAGGATGGACTTCAAACGAGCTGTCACACGCGGCTACACATAAAAGATTGTTTTCTTACATTTGGCAACAATTGTTACAATTGAATTGTGCTGGGCCGGGTTGACTAACATTACAAGCACAGGCGTAGACTGGGTGTAAATAGAAAACTTCATTCTGTGAATAGTCACAAAGCTAACGTTTATATACACTTTTCACAGGCAAATCAAGGAGAATTAATTTACAAGGATGGCAGGGCTCTCCTTCGACCAAATTAAAAGCGCCAAGAAGAACCTAAGGAAAGCTCCTCCACCAAAGGTTCCTTTAGGTTCTACCGCAAGTCAAAACGGCGATTTCTCATCTGATGGAGGCAACGTATCTGTAGCTGCGTTCCGAAATAGATTTGAACAAAAGCAATCCCCAAATGGACAATTTGGCTCTCTCTCACGTCTGAGTGGCGATGACAGAACCTCAGGAGAAAACATTACGTCATCAAGGGCTAAATTTGAGAAATTTGAGCAGAAGGCTGCAAAGAAACCTCCACCACCACGGAAGCCACCCATCGGGGCCAAGTCGAGTGAAATGTTACGAAGACTTGATGATAACAGCAATGCTTTGAAAGGAGAACCAATCCGTAAAGAATTACCACTTTTCAATAGAATAGGAGCAGCACCTCACAAGAAACATAAACCTGCAAACTTAAAATTCAAACTTGACAAGTACAAGGACAAAATTGTACAGTCAAACGGTACCAACCATACTGACAGAGGGTGCAACGAAGGTAGGGCACTACTGATGAGAAACAGAAAAATAAATCAGTTAACATATTTCGTACCCTATGTAATATGTGGCTGCACAAGAAAGGCTAAGGTAAAAGCTCAGGGCCGAGTTGTTCAAAGCTGGGTTAAGATAACGCAGGGTTAGTGCGAGATTTGAATTCAGATTTGAAAGCTTAAAAAGCATTTCAGTTTTAATTCTTTTTGGGTACAAGTTGATGATTGGAAGCTCTAAAAAAAACAGAGAAAATTATCTGAGAAAATGCTTTAGAACACCGGAAAAAGAAACCCGGGTTAAATTTAACCCCGGGTTAAGCGCTAATCGGCCTTCGAACAACAGGGTCCAGGACACGTTCCATGTACTGGATACGAAAGCTTATTAACCTCCCTCGCCTGTTGCTCGCTCAATTGCTTAGAGCACTGCACCGATGTCTCAGAGGTCAGGCTTCGTATTCCGGGTAGCCTGAACTATTTTTCAGTTTCAGGCTTTCTCTACGTAACTGCATCAGTTGCGTCTTCAACTGTGATGATCGTCTTCACAATATATGAAATTCATATATTCATTATTTCATCTTCATTTCATCTTCATCTCCCCAACCCCCCCCCCCCCCCCCCCNCGATAAGGGATAGGATAGGGTAAGTGCTTTATTATCAACAGAGCGCCTACAGACACATGTGTTTACAACGATAACAAAGATTTTCGTGCAATAATTACAGAGGTGTACATTTGTAAAATTTATACAACTATTAAAAAAGGTTATATTTAACGCGTCTATCTCTTTCGCGGAAGCGATCATATACGTATTTAGCCACAATTTTTTGCGTTTTCTCTCCTTGCTTCATACTTATCAACGTTGCAAAGGCAGAGCTTGGAGTCATAGAGTCAAGAATAAGATTAGTTTCCTTTTTTAGCGTATTTCAGGGTGAAAACCTACGTGCGATCTACGATGACGATACTAAGAGAACAGCTCATCCCTAACTCTAATGCACACAAGCCTAGAACAAGCGATAGATATGACATGCAGAGAGATACTCACTTCTCTTGTTACTTTAAGACATATATAATAGAGCTCTTCATCTTAAAGGGAATTCAGTCAAAAAGGCTAATCACGGTCAGAGTCTTCCCAGATGCTAATTAATGACAGTATGCTCTTTAACTGAAGAAGAACCGGTTCGTTAATAACTCACTGCTCATTAACTTGTTGAGCGCTAAATTTTGGCAAAAAGAAGAGGCTCTCCTGTAAGTTTTTTTTTAGTAAATGGGCTTCTACTATGGTTTCATCACTAAAACCCCCACCCCCCACCCCTGTCCGCACCTTCAGGAATTCTACATCTCGGGCTCAAAAGGAAAAAAATGGTAGGCTACGCCCCTACCAGTTCTAACTCAATGTCATGGGTTAGAGCGTTGCACCGGTATCGCAAAGGTCTTAACTGCGATGATGATTTTTTTGCATTTATTTCTTCATTCATCGGTTCCAATATATGAAAAACATATTTCATCATCTAGTAATACGTAATCCATCCGAAGGCCATCAACTGACGTCATGCCGCTCTTTTGTTGCAGAAGAAGATGAAGAAATTTACGATGACGTAGAGTGTACGCTTCGTGGGGATCTAGGTAATCTAAATTAATTTCCTTTTTCGTTAAACAGATCGTTTTCACACACGCGGTCAGCAGCTATGTCAAAAGAGTTCTTTACATGAGGGAAGATTTCAATCCTGTTGAAAAGCTTTTGGCAAACCAAAATGGCCGCTGTTTCAATATGGCTGCTATGATATCAAATGAAAACGATCTATTAGAATCCGTTTCCCTGTTCTACTTGTTCGCTTTCCGCAAGCTCTCTCCTCCGCATGCACAGAAGCCCCCGCTGGGTATTCCAATAAAAATAGCAACAATCGAAAAATAGCCTCTGCGGAGGAGAGAGTTCCCCAGGTACATAGTGAAGTCTGGGTACGAGATTACCTGTCCTGGATGAAGCGGCTACTTCAATAACATCAGTAGAAGAGAGGGGTATACCTGCTGCGCCTTTTCGCTCACTCTCTTCTTTGTTTCCCTTCCCCTCTCCCCTCTGGTCGTCACTCAACCCTAACTGGGATGTTAGATTTGCCGTTTTATATGACTCGGAGATGGGGGATGTTTTGGGGAGAAGAGGGAATGCGTTTGTGCAATTTAAACAACAACTACTGACAACAACAGTACAAACGAACAAAAGAACAGACTGAAACAAACCAACAACAACAAAAACAAAAATTAAACAGAAACATGGTGTTTTGAATAAGCCATACAGCAGAATAGTCCCCTCTACACGTTTTTCTCATGACTAACAGTCTGACGATGAAAACTACTTTTCTCTGTCAGGACCCTGTCAGTAACACATTTTTATTTCATCCGGTAAAGGGAGTAAAGGGAGATATACTCTTCTATATTTATAAGGAGAATTTTACGAAACTTTTCTAGTTCGCTACTTTTTTCATCGCTTCATGTTGATTGTTATTTTTCTTGCTCCAGATTATCAGCCAGAGGAAACGTATGAATGCGTATAAAATGCTGGGCAAATTAACTCCGAAAGGCTCATCATGATCATGAACATACCACCAGTTCCATGACGTCCACGAAAAAGATGAAGATATACTCCTCAACAATTCTGCTGATGACAATGCCTGTTATATTGAATTTATTACCAATTTGAAAAAACACTGAAACTTTTACCCGCAAACTACCCAAATGTAACGTTGGGAAATATTGCTCTTGGTCAATAGTGCTCGTTAAATAATTTCAAATTGCCAGTACTGCTGGCAATAATTTTATCAACTTGAAACAATCAACGCCATCTAGAAAGGTACTCTAATAACTATATCAAAACAAACGAGTGCTGGGTATATAACGTTTCAAAGTATGTCTTTTTTTACTGTGAAATAGATTTAAAAAACGACCAGAAAACCAAGTTGTGAGAACGAAAAAGCTCCCATGGAAAATTTTTGCAACAGTACCACAGTGAATCGCCGCAGGTAAGGGAATACAAGTCAGGACTTCTTGGATTCTGGATTCCACAGCGTGAAATTCGGATTCCGGATTCCAACCGTTAGTCAGGTACGGATTCCTTGAGCTGGAATCCGGATTCCAAAGCCCAGGATTCCGGATTCCACAAGGAAAATTTTCCGGATTGTGAAATCCGAATTCCCTTACATGGGGCGATTAGAAAGAGTACCACAGAGGAGAAAAACAATCCATCTCACATGTAAAGTAACCCAGGTCCACTGCCTTACTTTTTCCCAGTTCTCCATCAATGATAATAGGGGGCCTAAGCAAAGGCGTTTTTAAGCGATGCACCTCAACCACAGGCGGCCCAAACTCACGTTGCGAGGGAAGGGTGTAATGTAATTTACATAACGAGACGCGCCGGTGTCGCGTTACAGGCGACCGTTGAAAATATAAGAGACTTTGTATGGGAAATATATTAATGAGATCTGCGAACGCCAAATAACGCTAAATCTTACATTTTCTTAAATGAAATGAATAAAAAAGTCTTACCTGCAATCTATTCCGCTGCGGTTTGGTGTCTGTTTGTCGTTTTACTGTTTTTTTGGCTTTATTGCGTAACCACTGTTACTCCTTTCATAGAACGAAGTGAAGGCTGGTCACTTCGATTTGTCGGGGTCCTGGACCAGTCGCAACAAGAATGCCGTTTTTTTCGCCGAAATTCAAATCCGCTGCAAATTTTTCAGCTCCGGCCTAAGAGGGAAACCTCTTTTTCCTCTCTGGGAGATCGGCTCGAAAAAAGATCCATAATTTCCCCATTAAATCGAGCCATTTGTGCCGGACTTCGAGGCACGTCTGGCTTTCGTCCAGTACCTGTGACCACTGTTGCGCCTACTAACTAATTTGCATTATGACAATTAGCACTTACACGACGGGTGCAAGCATTCGCTTTTTCACAGTGCAAGAGCCTACTTGACGTGTCATTTCCGCCCTGTCACCCGTCGTGTAAGTGCTAATTGTCATAATGCAAATTAGTTAGTAGGCGCAACAGTGGTCAAAGGTACTGGACGAAAGCCAGACGTGCCTCGAAGTCCGGCACAAATGGCTCGATTTAATGGGGAAATTATGGATCTTTTTTCGAGCCGATCTCCCAGAGAGGAAAAAGAGGTTTCCCTCTTAGGCCGGAGCTGAAAAATTTGCAGCGGATTTGAATTTCGGCGAAAAAAACGGCATTCTTGTTGCGACTGGTCCAGGACCCCGACAAATCGAAGTGACCAGCCTTCACTTCGTTCTATGAAAGGAGTAACAGTGGTTACCCAATAAAGCCAAAAAAACAGTAAAACGACAAACAGACACCAAAACGCAGTGGAATACATTGCAGGTAAGTCTTTTTTATTCAATTCATTTAAGAAAAAGTAAGGTTTTGCGTTATTTAGCGTGCCCAGATCTCGGTAATATATTTCTAACACAAAGTCTCTTACATTTTCAACGGTCGCCTGTAACGCGACACCGGCGCGTCACATATGTTATGTAAATTACGTTACACCCATCCCTCGCAACGTGAGTTTGGGCCGCCTGTGCCTCAACCGGAAGTCAGGCATTTTTCCTTTTGATATGCCTTGAAGCTACCAAATTTGCTAAGGGTCTTTACTCTTCTTAAGGTGTAAAAATCCACTTCCGGTTGATGGGCGCCGCTGGAAAATGTCTTTGCTTAAGCTCCGTAAACAACCTTCCACTCAGAAATATATTAGGATACGATTTGCTTAAGTACCACACTGAAATGTATTTTCCTTTAACGTCTACTTTATTTAATTATTATACACACTCACACTCTTAATATTAGAGCTCACTGATACGGGTCTGTTAAAATACGAACCAGCCTCTGAACACTCTTTGGTTTTCACATTACGTCACTAAAATTCAGACTACAAAACGATCGATCCTACTGAGATTTTACTTTCATGATGAATTAGAGGAGCTGAAAACTAATGTTCATACAAATTTTAGCCCCGAAAGGGTTGTTAGTTTTGTGTTAGAATACGCTTGAATTTCTTAGCTTTTGCGTGACGCGGCTTTTACATGACGGCCGAGAGAGCTGTCATGTAGGTTAAAAAAGTGACTTATTTCGGGGAATTTTGCTATTTAAACAATTAATGTTTTAGAAAAGGTATTGCTTTAATGTTTATAGGTTCCTCGAGGGATAAATTCACGCTTTTGTAGCAAAACTTGGTAACAGACGTTTCTGTTGGTTTTCGTCCGCCATGTTGGTACCCATCCGGATGAGCACCAGCATGTCGTCTCCATACAAATCTCTATAAATTTGGGTAAAACATTTCTTCGGATATCTCGTATACGAAATATTCCTCTGACCTGAATCTTGGCGAGGGTCTTTGTGTATTTACCTCCTTTCATTTCCCAGATTCTGGCCTTAAACTATTCTTCCTTTGCTTGTCGTTTACTGATCTACGTATCTCAGGTTCAAGGATTTTTTAAATATATGTTCATTTCTTAATTTTAGAAATTGCGAACTTGAATCTGACGTTTGCCTTTGATCGTTATTCTTAATCTTCGAATTCCTTATGAGATCGAAGCGCGAAGTAGAGAACTGGTCGGCGAATTTGAATAATCTACCCACATCTGCATGAAAAATATGCATCTCTAGCGTACAAAGTTTGTATTCAGTTTTCTTTGAGTTACTTTTCCATAACAGTCACATATCCATTTTCATCGGGCACGCTCACTGTACCTACAAAACAGGACAAGAAAATCAAAATTCAATTCTGAATATTAAAATAATCTTTTTTGCTACGTACCTTTTTCCAAACTGGACGTTTGGTTTAATATAAATTTAGTAAAACAGAGGCTCTCGAGGTTTGAAAGTACAAGGAGCCGCTACAGATAGAAAAATCGATCATACAAAAATAGAATAGAATTGAATAAGGGTATATAAAGTTTCGTTTGTTCTCGTACTTACGCTGGGTACAATCAAAGTATGATGGTATAGCAGGATCACAACTTGCAGCTCGCTGGCGGCGAGGGACTGGGCGCGGTTTCCTTGGTGGAAGCCTCGGAGATCCCATTGATGTGACTTCGAGAGAACTGGGGCCTTGACAACTTATGTTATTGGGTAAGACGGGTTGTCGCTTAGCTCCATTCATAACTGTGGGAAATTGGCACAAAATTAATGACCACTCTCATTCTCTTTATAATAAATACATGTACATATCCTATAAGGGGCTGGGAATCTACAGTGAACTTCTAGCCTGATTTTTGAAAACGTTAACGCCAAATAGACCTTTCAAGTTGCGTCCAACAGTTTTTTTCCCGCCAAAAACTATCTCCAAAGTAGCCATAAAGATTATAAAAACTAAGAGTGCAACTATTGCTTTTTTCTCTTCTCCTCCTTTTCTTCTCCTCGCTCTTTCTTTTTCTCCTTCCCTTTTCCTTCGTTAGTGTGATTTTGGAGCTTATATCTGGCCCAAAAAAGCCTGCACTTTTGACGCTTTTGACTCAAATGACTGCTAATTTCATTAGGTTAGTTTTCAAAAAATCGGCTTGATTTACACCCACCTTGACTGGGTTTTGGAGCTAACGTCAAAGACTTTTTTATTTCATGAAAAGAATCACGTTTACTGCAATAAAGACATGAAATATCCATCGTTGAAATCAAATTCAATCATATGCATTAACACAAGAATCAATCAATTAAAGACTGGAAACGCTCAATACCCAGCCACAGGCGGATCGACGTTGGCTCACGCGCGAGCACTACTGAATACTGAGAAAATCTCGTACTCGTAGTCGTCCTCGTCTCAGAATCTTAAGCTCTCTATTATTTACGCTGGCCTTGAACGTCGGCTTACGGCTTCTCACACGTACCTTATATTAGACATAGATTTTGTCCATCTCATCGGGACACAAGCGCAGTATATGAAGTGAGTGGAAAATAGTTTTGATGCTCCCTAACTACCGGCCTTCTTAATTATTGCGCTCAGTTTTTACGATGCTATTCCCTTTGGTAAGATAGTGTGTTAAGTACAGTCGAAGAATCCAGCAAGCGGGCATCTTTGACCGACCGCAAATAGACCGTTTTAATTTGTATGTGGCTTAGGGCCTTTACCTTGGCAATGTGAAGTTCGACGTTTGAAACGGGCGTTCAGGAGTCAATTTAGACGAGAACATATCCTTATGTCACTAAGCAGGCGCGGATCCACACCTTTTTCCACCGTTTTACGGAAATCGGTCAGAATCTTCATAATAAATAATTTTTGATAAAAAAATCTTTCCCAGTTGAAATCTGCAGATTGACATTACTCGCATTGTTCTATGTCCACTACATCATGGAAATTGATCTTGATGAAATAATCCCCCCGTGTGCAAGGCTACCGTATCCGAGGAGAATGGAACTGACCAATATCCTGTCTGAATGACTCAGAAACCCAGGAAAGAAGACTTTAGGGAGTTAAAATGCAAACAAGGGGAAGCATCTTCCCAGACCAACCCCACCAAACCCCAACCCCCTCCCCCACCCCCCGCAGAAGCTTCTCGTTTAACATCGGTCAGTATTTATCCCAGATCGCGCCTGTTAAGCCATTAATTAACATACTTACTCATCAAAGTGAGGTCTCCTCAAAGAAATCTACATTAAGAGAATAATTCAAATAGGCAATAATGATTCTGTTGCTTTTTTTCTTTTTTTTTTTTACAATTATCGTTAACCCCCTCCCCCCCCCCCCCCAGAACCCTCTCCCTTACCCTCCCCCCGCACTTCCCCCCCACCCCGCCCGTTTAACCACTAATTAACATATTTTCTCATCAAAGGGAGGTCTCCTCAAAGAAATCTTAATAAATAGAATAAATCAAAAAAGCAATAATGATTCTGTTGCTTTTTTTCTTTTTTTTTTTTTACAATTATCGTGTTTGCTTACATTGTAATTATTAAAATGGCGAATAATAATAAAGTAATTATTATGATTATTTTTTTATTTATTTTATTTTCATTTATATTTTATTTGAAGACTGAAACAACTCAGCGCAACAATATTACAACGCTGTGTTGCGCTAAAAATCTTCGTTGCGAATCGTCTCGTGTAACATCACTTAAATGCGTTAAATAACGAACTAAATACACACGTCCGCTAAATAATAACTCATGTCAATAAATAATAAAAGAGAGCTCGCGCAAATTTAAATAAAGCGCTAGCACACAACCTACACTAACTGAAATTGGGCTGTTTTAGCAACAGAACTGGGGAACGTCATTTGACGACGGAGAAAGCGCGCGGAAAGGACTAAACTAGACTTCCGTTGCCCAATTTGCCACTCTGCCATTGGTCAAGCCAGTTGTTTGATTTGCGCGCGCCGTCGTCAACTGACGTTCCTGTTCTGTTGCTAAATCAGCCTATTAAAGGATATGGTGGCACCATTCAGCCATTGATTGCCAGCAGTCTCATCTCCCGCAGTGTACACTGCTATAAGACTGTAATAAACCCATAGTCAACTTAGACTAACAGTATAAAATCAAGTTCAAACTTACGTTTGGATCTGAACCACTCCATGAACTCTCCATACCTGCTAAGCAAACGGAAAAATTCTGAGTTTAATATATAAGAAAAGTAGTAGCCTGCGCGCCACCGTGTACGAAACTAAAATCTAGTAAAGTCCGCCCGGCGCAGAACAGTGCAGTGTTCTGGTCTCTCCACTTGTGAATCAGGATTTGAGTACGCGCCATGATTCGCCTGTTAAAAAAAGCCTTTGTGGATTTCCCAGTCAGGATGAAGAGAAATTTGAAACGCACTTCCGGTTATTCGTTGAATCCGTTGGAGGTTCAGAAGGCTGATTTAGTAACAAAACAGGAACCTCATTTGACAACGGGAAATCGCGCGAAAAGGACTTAACCCGACTTCCGGTTCCCAATTTCTCGGTCTGCCATTGGTCAAGCAAGTTGTTTGATTTGCGCGCGCCGTTGTTAACTGACGTTCCCGTTCTGATGCTAAATCAGCCTAGAACAAGGATCTCGGAGCTGCTTTGCAGACGTTTTTATACGTAGGGGCGCGCAGCGATTGCTTTCTTTGAAGTACCTGTTCGGAGAAGCAAATATTGCCTTCAATTTTCTATTAGTTGAGGAAGGCTAAAAATTTCTAGATGAAGGTTCCACTCACGTACAATTTTCGTAGCTTATCTAACAAATTCCCTACGATTTTCTGAAGTTTAATTTTCACATTTTACTTCCTAAGTTTGGCTATTTTTCGTAGAGGAAACGAAACCTAAAGTTTTCGGACTCAAAAATGCAATGGAGAGAGAAATCAAATAATGTCTCACTTTCATAAAACTTCAAATTGTATCTAGAATTTTGAGGGAAAATAATAATCAAGCCCTTTGTAATTTCGAAAAGACTCAAGTTTCCGGCTAGGATGACCGAAGAGATACAAATTTTAAGGCACCGCTTAGAATGCATTTCTAGAGATCTAAGAGTGTACTCTGGAGGGCCTAAATAGTGTTTTTAATGTATTTAGAAGAATACCGTCTTTGGGTGCCCCTGGTACTAATAGAAGTTAAATTACGTCTGCGAAGCAGGCTAGAAATAAAGTAGTTGCTTGATTATTGTTCATAAAAATGGATTGAAAAAGAGGTGATTATTCCACACTTTCATGACTTTTCCTCTTACAGATATTCTAGATCTCTTTACAAACTACTACATATGTCTGTTTAACATATCTAACTGAGGCAAAATGTGCCGCGTCACATTGTAGGATAACATACACTTCACTGTACCTCTAGGAAAGAATGATCTTGATCTTGCTGGCGGTTCAGGTGGTTTTTCCGTGCCTTCTTCGGAAACCGTACTGCAAATCCCCAAAAGAACGAGTGAATCGATTAAAGCAACGGCACTCGGCGGCTATATCGTATATAGTATATAGTATATAGTATAAGAATATCAGTGACACACCCTCGCATTGAGTGCTATTTTTGCGGTTCTTAAAAATTTTGACGTCATGTCAGTGTGACTATGAATAAACAGACACAGGGTAATCGAATCTGTTTGTTGATCATGAATTTTTTATAATAAATTAAACACTTTTTCTAAACTTGCAGTTGAAATGAAACGAGTGTCAGTTAGTGAGCTACTTACTCAAAATTAAATGGCATCCTGTGAAATATCTAAGCAAGAGAAAAGAGCACACTGATTAGAGGAAACAAACGTTTTAAAAAGTAAATTAATAAATAAACTAAAATATCATTAAAAAAATGAATAAATAAATAAATAAATAATGGTAAGAGAGCTTTAGATTCTAGGACGAGGACAACATATAATTTATTAATAAAGATTTCTCGCCTATTCTCTACAAATAGACACCCTGGAAAGCTTCATTGTACTTTTTTTCACCACAAAAGATAACACACTTATTTCCGTTAAAGGAGGAAAAGCCCTCTCCCGATCAATAAATCATAAAATTTCTAACATTTGATAACTTATTTTTGCCATTACGACATTCTCGCTAAAACCCCCTAGTAGAATGACGACGGCCACCAGATTTTCCCGCCAAAATTACGTTGGTTCGCGTGCGCGCATTACTTAGTATTGGGAAAATCTCCTTCTCGTAGTCGTCCTCGTCTTAGAATCTAAAGCTCTCTAATGAATTAGAGGTAGCACATCTACATAGTGGTGTTTCGTCTACCATTCATGGTCGAATTGGAATTTGGACAATGTTGGTTTTTGAGGAAGGCGGAAATGCTGGAACAAACACAAACGTCTTCAACCCGGCCTCCAACCTCCCAATACCAGGAGCTGATGTCCAAAGCGCTTCATAAATGTGCGGAGAACTTACGTTTGGATCTGAGCCTCGTCGTTCATTTACCAGTCCTATGCATGTCACAAAAATAAAATAAAAAATCCGTACCAGTTAACGATAATATTTGCGACCAAAAAAAACTGTAGTCAATTATAAAATTTGAAACAAAAAAAATTAATAATAAACATACCACTGAAAAAGAACGATGACCTGGGAGACAGCGGAGATCTAGGAGGAAGTGGGGGAGCGGAGTCAGGAATGTCGTGTATGGAATGACGCTTCTTGTTCATTGGGTATGTCTTGGGTGGTAAAGAAGGGGCTGATTCTCGGCGAGATGTCTCATCTAGGATCGTCGAAGAATTTTCGCCATTCTGCAAAACATCAATAACTAATGAGCATATGTAACGATTGTCGAGCCACGTGAGGGGAAACAACTAAAAAGAAAAAAAAACGGGATCTTTTTACGCTGTCTCGTTGCTCTATGTAAGGTAACCCGGATTCCGGAAGCGGAGAAATTTTTGCCTGTGGGATCCGGAACCCTGGGCTTTGGAGTCCGGAATGAAGCCAAACGAACCCGGAATCCCACTAAGGATTGCAACCTGGAATCCAAGTTCCACTGACAAAGGATCCGGAATCCAGTACCTGGAATCCGGAATCCACAGCCTGGAATCCAGTCCAATTCAGTCCAGTCAAGACTGTCTTGGATTAGCCTACATGGGGCAAATATTGAGTTCCGCAGACGGCAGTCGATTCTTTGACCTAATGGCTCTACCCTGACTGAATAACTTAGGGCTAAGGCCAAGCAACAGTAATTAGAACTAAATATGTGGCAAGGCAGCTTCAGGTTTTGAAAGTGAGTCAGAGTGCGCATGTCACAGAGCTCTGGGTCTAGATAGTATCATTGTCTCCTTTCCTACCTTGATTGATTTATGGTGCAGGTTAAAACATAAGCTTTAAAATGATTATTTTTGTTTCAAGAAGAAGATACACAGATTCACATTTCAAGTGAACTTTTACCTGTCGAGCGCACTTCTGAATAAACTGGCTAAATGTTTTTGCTGTTTCTTCGCTGAGATTATGATTTCGCCAGCTTTCATTAACAGCTTGTTCTGCTAGGAAGATTGCTTTCCACATTTCAGGTGTCATAGGTATTTCTGAAAGAAGAAGAATATATCATGGTGGGTACAAATGACTCCTGAACCGCTCTGCTAAAAACTACTTTTGCAGTTTTTATCTCTTTGAGTTTCAAGTTTGCAGAAGGAAAAATCTTTGTATTCCAAACAATCGAATCTTTTTTTGTGGTTTTTCGATTTTTTTTGACGGGAAAATTACGTCACAGGATTGCCAGCAAACTTTCATTTCATTTAAAAGGGGTAATAAATAGGAATTTTTGAAATTGCATGACGACTTAGAAACATTTGTGAATTTTTTTTCTCAAAAGCTCAATTGCTTTGGGAGATATAGAATTTTGAAATGTCCTTATGTTTCTAAAAGTACATGGCGGGTAATTAAAAAATCAAAGCTTAATAATTCTTTAACCAATAAAAGTTTTCATATTTTATGTGACACTAAAACTGGCTCATTTCATAAAATGATTTCATTGTCTGGAAATTACTGTCAAACTCGAGACCCCAGCTCCCGTTTTGGCATTAGAGCCCCTGTCGCATCTTTCGGAATTACCCCTACGCTTTTCTCTTTAAATTAATTATGCTTGGAGAGTGAGGAGAATAGTTAGACCTCTGCAAACTTTCACCTTCTCTAGAGAAATCTCGGCGGAAATAGAATGATCAGAATGATCCGGTTACTCTTTCAGTCTTGCCCAGGGTTCTACCGCTCATGTATACAATTAGCCAAGGCTGGGGCGAAGCTTCCATTGATGAGTATATAATTTACTTCATACGATAAACATGTAACCTTTGCAAAGAAGTTCACTTGGAGTTGAGGCTGCCATCAATTGAAAACTTGTGAAAAAAAACTAGTAAACTTTGACAGCTGTCAATTCTACATATCATAAATGTGCAATATCAGGTTGCAGGCTTCCACACTAGCCAGAAAGTGTGACATTCCACATTGGTTTCTGTGTGGTGCTGGCCGACGGACGGACGAGCGGACGTATGGTCACGTGATTACCAAAATTTCTCGGATGGATAGATTACCAAATTTTCTCACCGTGGTGCTCCGCTATTAATTGTCATACTGCGATGCTCTCTCCTTAAAGTTATCGTTATACAATAACAAGACAAAACACAGGACAATATAAAAAAAAAGAGAATGATGAAACAGGAATATGTTGGCAATTACCGTGTTTGGTGATTTCTATTTTTTTCTCAACGCTGGCGTATACAACCTCATCCTCTGATTCTTGAATTGTTAGATCAGTAGAGTCCATCAGCATATATAGATCTTCATTCTCGATATCGTTACATAAGGTGTCATCCTTTGATTCGATTCTATCTTTGTTTCTTTTTTTGGACTAAAATATGAGGAGAAAAGTGATACGGTCAGACGTAAGCAAATTGATAGATATTATAAAGAAAGGTATAGAGCGAAATGAGATAGATCTAATTAATAAGCACAAAAGAATTGCTGTGCTAAAACGTCAGGCCTTCAGTTCTATAAATTAATAACAAGTACGTCTACAAAAATGCACGCATGTCCTTTAACGCCGAATTAGTTTTTTCATTGAATAACCAACATGTTTAAGACAATATGCACCTGATAAATCGGTCATATTGCAAGGTCAGTCGTGGCCTCCAGGACAAAAATTTTCCACCTTGCTATCGGTTAATGTCAATGAAAAGTAAAACTACCTCAAAATCTCGAAGTTCTTCTGAAAGCTCAGAGTGTCCATTTTCTTCTGCTATCTCTTTAGGACGCAAGCCGTCTTTGTTCTTGAGCGCCAATGCTCTTGATGCTGTTGGACAGTATTGGACAAACGCTGCTATCGTTTGTGCGAGACCATAGGCGGCTGCAAAATGCATCATTGTGGGATAGGTGCTGTCTGCTTGATCTGGTGAAAATCACAGGAAAATTCATGGGGAGTAAATTCAAGGAGCAAAAATATCGTTGCCTAGCTATAAACAAAAGAGAATGCTGTAAACAATAATAATTCATGCTTAATTATAAGGATCAATTCTTTAAACAATCACGCCAGATTATGAATGGCAACAGTCTAATTTTTGTGAAAGGTTTAAACCCATCCAGGAGTCATTTCATAAGTAGGTTGAGTTTGTTTCGTCCGGGTGAACGTAGTCCTGAATAGGACTGTTGTTGTTGACAGTGACTGATGTTTCGACAACCTGTGCGGTAGTCGTCTTCAGAGTCAAAGTCAGTTGTATCACGTCAGTTGATGTTATCAACTCTGGTTATTGACCTGATTGGTCAATTGATGAACTCACTGCAAAATGGGATCGGTCGTCTCTAACAAAATCACACTATCACTGCATCTTACAAGTATTGCACGTAGGCAGTTGCACATTGACAAAAATTTGTGTTTTTTAAGCTAGGTATGCCGGATTTTCTCTTACGAATATTTAAAACATACCGTTAACTTTTTCTGGAAATGTAGCGTCCAGTAGATGAAAATCGTGTGGTGATTTCCTTTTAATTTTCTGAGCCATTCCTTTGTCAAACTGTTTTATATTTGCGGTGGAAATCCCGAAGGAGCTGCACAAAAGCTCATCAGGATCTGTCACTTTTTCTAACAAGTCCTGAAGAACTTTACTTCGGGAGACAAATTCAAAGGAGCAGTCAGCGATGAAAGGATCGTGCTGTTTAATCTTGTCATATATTGTAACAGTGGTTTTCTCAGGTGGATAGTACACTGCAAGGAATGAACAAGAACTATTGAAGGTGCTAATGTCAAATCCACTATATATGTGACAAACCCGATGGTAATCTTCTGTGATTGCAAGGAGCAAATGAAGTGGCGCGGTGGTGAGGGTTGCACTAGCTCGACTTACAACAATGTGGCCTTCGTTCGAGTCCCGGCATCGAGGCCATATTTAGGTTGACTTTGTTTTGCGGGGTTTAGTCTTCTCTTCTCTGAGAGGTTCTTTTCCGGATGCTCCAGTTTTTCCTTCTCCTTAAAAGCTATAACATTCGATCCTGGACACAAGAACACTTTCAAACGAGATTTTTTGGAATTCATAAGTAACGTGTGGGTGAACAAATCGCTTTTACCATTATATATTCGTACAGTCGAGTTGTCCGGTACGCGAATATGCCGTAGTTAAGGACTTATTTAATAACCCAAAGAGAGTACAGAAAGACAGACAGCAGAGAGCGGAATAAAATTAAACTAAACGTGTGCTATGGTCATTGTTCTACCTGGTCCGATAAAAAGAGATTATTGCAATTATAAGGAGTGTATAAAGTGAGCAAATCAATAACAAGACTATAGGTCAGCGTTGCGCCTCTCTTACCTGGCGCATGGGCCTGAATAGTGCAGCTGTTTAGTAGTAATGCGGGCACTCTTAGGCAGTGACTCTCTCCTTTAAACTGTACTTGATATGGTCCACCGTCTGCAAGGAGGGGCTTGTTGAATACGAACAGAACTCTCTCCTTTGCCTGAATTGGAAGTTAATAAGGGAAAGAAACACAGGCTTAACTGCACAAACGTATTCTGTCCGAATGCTCTGTTAGCACGTGTTTAGCCTGTTCTGAGCGTTCAGATAGTAGGGCGCGGGTTAAATATAGACCGAGGAAAACAAGAGGGAAGACTGGGGGAAAGGGTAGGGATTCTCTCGCTCGCCCAAGTCCCCTCTTGCTTTCCCTTGTTTTCCCTAACGCTCGCCCCGTACGATTCAACGCGCTCCCCACTATTCTGATTACCGGAAAAGGCCTAGAAGGCAAAGAATAGAACGTTGTGACTTGCGAAGCATTATGTCCTACTTATTTCAAAATATTAGACTTATGAATGCCGATCAGAAGCTGTATCTCGTGTAGGGCCTTCCACATAGCCCTATGCCCTTTTAGCGAAAAATAGAGAAATCAAAAGAAACAATGAAGTCTCTTAGCCCCGAAACAATTAACAATGGAAATAAAATTTTCATAGCTACACCTACTGACAGGCTTGAATAAAGACATGTAATCCACGTTTTCAGCTGACACACTTTCTGAGTGAGATAGTTTTGTGACGAGTAATGAACCATTAACCTGTCCGTGAGAGATGTTTTACGATCGGAGGGTTGGCACAAATGCCTTGGTCAATACATCTGAAAAACAACAGTTCTTCTTTTCGGTGTAATACAACAGTAAAATTCTTACATCATATTGTGACTTTTCTGGCGATACTGCTACAAGCTGCCTGACCTCATCTGAAACATCAATGGCGATATTTGATTTAACTGAACAAGACTGACAGATTATAAAGTTAGTGGTCAGCTATCTTTAAGACGGACACTATTATTCTTTTCTTTACAAGAGAGTTCAAGTCATGGGCTGTTCGTAACATGCAATGACTTTCGTCTTAGGGGGAGTTGACTGTGGATCAAAACATCCACGTGATAGAATTAAACGATTTCCACCATGTTGTTGGAATTATGGCAATCTCCGGGAATCTCTCAATAACAGTATAGTAGGCAGGAGCCGATTACCAGTTTATTCAGTAGTAGGAGACCAACAGTGACCCTGTTATGAAGTAAGAGCAATAGCCATAACTCTTCAATTTGTTAAGAATGTCATACCATATATACAGTCCGGATCATCCATGTTGTTGCTGTTGTTTGCTCTGACTTTGCCGGGTTTGCTTTTCTTCTACACTGTTATTTAGGATAACAATAATAAAGGGTTAGTTTTATAATTGTTTGTGTTTTAACCTTGCCACTCTATCCTACAGATCCTAGGTCTGTTTATTGTGCAATTCACGTTTAAATGCGAGACATTATTTACTTCCTTATCCCTTCCGTGAAAGTGTCTATTGAATAAATAACCTAGTGTTTTCTTAACTTAACTTTTTTCTTTTTCTATGGTTCCAGTCCTGGTTCCAGTAGGTTTTTTTAGAAGACCACAAATTAATTTGCTGCACTGTTTATAATTTCATTCTTATCTCTTTGCTGAACCTTCAATTCGATCCAGTCCACTTTTAGAAATCGTCATGGCTTCCAGTTCTCCTCATTTAAGAAGACAAAAGGAAGCTCCACTTGCAAGGCGGAAGATGTGACTCTCTGAAAACTGACAACATACCTTTAATAGGCCTTTTGCCATTAGTTGATCACGCGATCAACTTTCTGTAAACACGAAAACAGTTCGCTTTTGAAAAATTTAATTAGTTAGAACTGAAAGAGCATATTAAAATTAGGTAACCTGTAAATTTTCAGCCGTATATCCCAAAAATAGCGATCGCAACGGCCGCGGAAAATCATAAGGATATTGATTTAAATGAGAAAAATAACTCGTACGACCCAGTCACGCTTGACAAGCTTGTTTTTCTCATGCAAATCCTTCTGATTTTCGGCGGCCGTTGCAATCGTCCCTTTTGAGATGCGCGGCTGAATATTTACAGATTACTTTATTTTAATATGCTATTTCAGTTCCTGCTAACCGGAAAATGTTCCAAAAGCGAACTGTTTTCGTGCTAACAGAAAGTTGAACACGTGAATAACTATTGCATAACGGTGAAAAGGCCTATCTGTGATCGATGTCCTGTGTTGTGATTGGTCAAGGAAAAAATACAAATGACCAACAAATCTCTTTCAGGTTACCGGGTCTCGACAATTAGTTTTGAATTTGGTCAGAAGAAGTCAAAATATACAGTCAACCCAATGTAATATATATTTACGCAGGAGCCAAGCTCCTTATCTACAATATTGAGAATATCTAGTTCAAAAAGGAGTGGGATTTTTTGCGAGTTAATCAACTTCCTAAACTTTTCCGCTGAGAATGGCAAGCATTCACAGCTGGATTCATTTGTTTTCTTCGCGCGCGCAAACATATATTAAAAAATAAATGGAAAGAAAACAATGAAAACCGCTAAACTAAAGAATAAAAAAGTCCTGGCGTGATCAATTTCCTATGTTATGTTACGATCAATTTTAACATTATAATTTGCATAATTCATGCAAATCAAATTAAACACCAAGTGCAATAAAAATATTTTGAGTGCTGCTCAATCGCCACTTCCTGAAATAGAACTGAGATAGGTTCCTTCGAATTAAAACAATCTAACCAAGTTTTTAAGACGATTTCATCTTGCGTACGTTGTTAAAATACCATTCCAATATCTTTTCCGGCTAGTTCGAAAGTAACCTAAGCATACACATATACCTCACGTCCTGTCTCTTCTTGATCCATCCTTGATTTGTTAACAAATGTTTCTCATTACTAGTTATTAGCTTTAATGGTTATCACTATATGACTACGCGAAGTGCATAGCTTCTTAAATTCACTCATGTTTGTATCTTCAAAGTTAAAGTTGGTTAAGGCAATGTCGAGTATCGTCACAAGCCTCTAGAAGCTGCCAAAATATTTCTAATACCTCTGAAGTTTGGTGCAGCATTCTACATGCAGTTTTTATTTAAATTATCAGTCGTTATAGACAGTACCTGCATATATGCCAACCCTGTCGACTTTGTTTGGTTCTTACCCCTTTCAAAAGTTTCAGTTCGAGACTTACGAACACCAAGAGTAAGAAAAACTTACCGGCGAAAACATTTTATCATCACTGTCTTTAAAGGCTGTCACTGTTTTATACTACTTACCGACTCAAACCTCACTGGTGTCTCGAACCATCTGCGTAAGATCCGTTCAATATTTAGAACTAGAAACTATTCTTAGTACCTCTGCTCTCAAAAATATCGACAGTGGGGACGTCAAAGATAGAAACGTTGTCTTGCAAGTTATACATAAAAAAGGAAGTTTGTTTCAATAATAATCAGTCCAAGGTTTCTTTTTATGTCTCATTGCACACGCCAATAACATCCAAGATCTTGAGACACGTCTATCGAAAGTGTATTGTCTTCAGATTAAAATGTCTTGGTATCAAGCTGTTAATCTTCAAAACAAGTCATAGTAAGACAGTTAATAGCATAATGATTATTCATTTGCTTTGTACTGACCTCCAGATATGTCTTAGCGACTGAGGACACATGAGGAAATAACAAAAAAAAGGGCAGTTTTCAGCTGAACATACAGTATTTGGGAAGAAAAACGAATGCTTAGCCAGCTCAAGTGAAGGGTTTAAATAGTATACGGTACATTACTAGCACTTAAAATTGATATCAGTGGCTGATTGTACAAAAGGGAAGTGACGGACAAATACTTAATTCTAACAAATACCTGAGGGCATAAGAAAACAGTCTCTCTCGGCCGAGGAAGGCTAGTTTTGTTAGCCGAAATATTAGCCTATAATAAATCAGCCCTTGGCCCCAGCCCAGCCTGCAGTCAGTTTTGTTTTATTTCACTCTTTAAGTGACGTATGGCTACAGCATCTCTTTGATTAGAGATCCGGCGAGAGTAACCAGTCAGGTATACTGTACGCGTTGCGTGCACCTCTGCATTCAAACAGTTTTTTTCCCATCTGATAAGACTCTGAGTAGTATCAGTAGGGACAAGACTTAAGAAATCCGCAACTCATAAATTATTTGATTCATGCATTCAAATTAGCGAATGCATCTCCCAGCTACACTGTCTGAGCTGGCTGCTACACTGACTATTATTATTATCATTATTATTATTATTATTATTATTATTATTATTACTATTATTATTATTATTGCAACCATTCTGGAACCAATCAGAAGTGTTATGAAATTTAATCATTAGCCACAGTAGACTGCTCTTTCATTCAGTTCATATGCCTTAAAACGGCCGGGTCACGCTATAGAATAATCCATTTTACAGTTACGGGCGCAAATTAAACTAGGCTGTAATATTTGACCTTATTTTGACACAACCCTTCCTCCTTTAATGTCTTAAATCCAGGGGCTGACGCAGAATTTTGTGATAGAGGTGGCCTATAGAGATGTAGTATACAGAGTGCAATATGGGCGCGATAGAGCGCATCTGAGGACTGCGAGATTTGAAGTTTTCTGAGATGCAATCTAGTGTACTCTGGACGCTTAAATTTACCAAATGCCTGGATTCCATATTGAACATGTAATGCCGAAATATTCAATAAGCCACGGGTGGTTGTGGTCAAAGAAGTAATTAACACTTTATGATAACACTTTATTTATAACACTTTATAACACTTTATTTATGTTTATCAAAGAATATGCATTTAAACAAAGCTCGACTACCATCCGATACACGTTTACATAGGAGAAAAAAATTCCCGGAGAAAAGTGGGGGCAGAGGACCTTGGGCCCACCCCTAAATCCGCCCCTGTAATCCATGTTATTATCCATATTATTATTATTTTGCATGATTTTCATAAGAGAAGGAAAGAGGTTTGTCTCAAAACAAGGTCAATCTCAGCCTCACGTTTATTTAGAGACGAAGGTACTAAGCTCATAACTGTAGAATGGTCTAGCCTATTGTATAGCGATTTTGCCAAAAGAAATGTGACAGAATTAATTAATGCAGCGTTTTATTGATCGATAAGATCAAAATAATAGGAAAGCTATCGAACGTTGTCCACCTTCAGGTCCACAAAAAACATGAAACACACTCTCTCTCCTCCGCGGGGAGGCTGGGGAGGAAGAAAAAGAAAGCGTGCGGGGCACGATGGGAAGGGGCCTTTTCCCTCTTCCCATCGTCCCCCACACGCTTTCTATTTTTCTATTCTAATTGCTATTTTTATTGGGAAGCCTAGAGGGAGCCTCTCCGGAGGAAAGAGTGAAAGGCATGTAACCATTCGTAACCATTTTACTTTACTAACTATGATCGGTTCTACGTCTTAATCAATATTTTGAATGAATGATAAAAAAATTATATGATATGAAGAATTAAGCACGTAGGGTGATATCCACGTAAGCCTTTGGCTTCATTCATCTTATCAATTTCAGTCTCATCCAAAAGTTGCTGAAATAACAGTTCGAAATTCAAAGGTTTTACTTGATTCAGGTAGGACATCCCTTTCTCCTCAAGAAAACAAGAGGACGCTCTGCTTGCTACAGTGTGGCACGAAATTTTTGCGGATTGGCCATTTTTTTGTGTTTTGCGGGAACTAATTTTTGCGATTAGGACTGATTGGTTGTTCTCGATGGGAATTAATTTTTCAGTGCGATTTTCACAAAGTCAGTACCCAGCATTGATAATATTTTCGTTTTTATTGAGTACGTGCAATGGAGATAAATATTTTCAAACAATACGACGGTGTGCGTACCCTATATAAAACAAGTAATTCATTGTCAGTACCGTTTTGTTTCTGAACGAAATTAAAGAGACTAGTTGTAATTGATCATGTACAGACACGATTGCTTAGTACACTATATTTCTGTGTAGCAAATTTAAGTTAGAGAATATATTTACTCCGGAGTACATTTTTGCGGAAAAAATGTTTGCGGTAATCTCTATTTGAGGGAACTTATATTTGCCGATCGCTGGAAAAAATCGCAAAAAATTAGAACCCGTAAAAATTTCGTGCCATACGGTATACTACTCCTAGAAGTGTCCACAAAGAAATACTTCGTTTGTATAACACCATTTTTAATAAACTTAAGCAAATCCTTTGTTAAATAGTTGTTGTAATAATTTGTGAACAAAGTCGTGTCTTGACTTCAAAGCTGATACAACTTATTACGGCTAATGAACTTAACTCCTTATTCATACTCGCGTCCACGAGTCTAAAGTATATATGTTCTACATACTGACTTATGGTTAAGTGTTCTCTTTTCTTTATCGACCCCTCGTGGTCTTCGTGACTCGAACTGACGTGATCATCAGTTCAATAAACGTCCAATTCTTCATTGCTGATCTTTATGCTTTTTTTTTTACCTAGCTGCTCGATCGACTGAAATGAATTGTCAAATGAATAATCGCCAGCTGTTGTATTTTGATGTATGGTACAGTTTATAAAATAGCAAAAAATTTTGAACGAGGCAAAGGTTCCTTTCAAAATTAGAATTAGAGCTGTCGTTTCTGGCATTATAAGCCTCACCACAGGAAAGTAGGGAATCCGACCTTAGACTACCAACTGTTTTGCCGGACAGCAGTATAGTATCACAGGAAGGTGGCCACCACTGAATTACTTTTCATTGGGCTGTCTGTGGCAAAGCCAACTTGTCAGTTTGATTCTATCCATACACTGATATGAAGTGGAGTTTACAAGCAACCACAAAAAGTATGGATTTCATGTTCATCAAGAGGTTAGAATAAATAAATAAACCTTGTTGAATAACTTTGCTCAATACTTGACTCTGCTAAAAACTAAGAGTCAAATCGTAATTAACTTGTCATACACGCGAGATTGTTATCGAACGCGAAGGACTTATTAGTGACTGTTTTAAAATGTCAACCGAGTTTAAGTGATTCTCTTCTGTTGTCTTTTATGAACGTATTAGAGTTCACTTGGATATCGATCCCAGAATCCCCATGGCCCCCACCACTAAGGGAAATTGGATGTTGCCTTATTGGTGCCACCGACGAGGAATTATGGGAAGAAAAACTCATGCTCTTAATACTTGTGCCCAAGTTGCTGCTTCTGAACATCTCTATGACGCGATTTTTCGCTGTAAACAAGCGCCAAGCTTCTTGGAAATCTTTCTTGATAATTCCATGCAGCAGAAAAATGAACAGGCCCTGGAATGAGCACGTGATTGTAAAGAGGTAGTGAAAGACCAACGTTCCGACAGTTGCCGCTAAACCAGCGAACAACCAGTTTAGGCCAAGAAGGACAAATACCGATACTGTGGCCCGGAAGTGAGACAAACGATTGGCCTTTTCGCACATGTTTGGAATGTTGTAAATCTCTTTCATCACCACCAGAAATATAATGATGTTGACTGTCATGAGGAGAAGGACTGGGGCGAGAAAGGCACCGTAGAACGCATCGGCGTCCATCCAGCATCTGAAAAGGAGGCGTAGTAGCTGTTATTATTTGAGAGATATAAATTACTATCCTGACGTAAGAAACATTTATGGTCGAACTCGATCGATCATGTCCATCAGTGAAATATTAAATGTCTTAGGCCGAGCAATAAACATTTAATTAGGCTAGCAAAATTAGCGTTTAAGTCGTTTTAAAGATGCTTTTGTGAATAGATGCTTTTTCTCTAATTTTTAAATGGTAACTATTTACTATTTACTTTAACCTGTTGATGGCCATCAGTTGTAAACTCGCCATGTTTGTTCATGTATTTTTCTCATAGTACGACTATATTATTATTACTACTATTAATATTATTATTATTATTGTTATTATTGTACTTAATGTATTAAACGCAGATACACTAGCTATAGACGGACTTCGTTTTAAAGCAAAAATTATGTGCGTGCCCTTTTTCGAGAGTCTGTGCTTGTAGTCTATATAACTTACAGTGTTTCGTTGTTTTGTTTGTCCATGACATGAAAGCCGTAGGAATCAGGCTCGGCCAGCACGGTTATCACTACAACTATTGCTGGAATGACTGCGAGATAAATAAGATTTAATATTAATTAACTTATAACGTAATATAATGAAAGAAACCATTCCGTGGCAACGGGCAAAGCGCGGTAATACTAATGATCTTTAGTTAACATGATGAGAAAAAATCGGATATTCATATATGCTTTTTTTTTAATCCTAAGCAGTGTCAAGTTATTCGCCAAGCATTTTATTTAAATTTATTGAAGCTTGATTCTTGATTCCTATCTTCGCAAAAGTGGAGTCGTTTGACGCACCTTTATATATTTATTTCAACACGCTAAAACGTGTTTGTTAGCTATGTTCTTCTTTATCTGTTTATACATAATACAGAGTTGGCCTCTCAAAATTAATTCGCTTAACGAGTAACAAGCTAAGCTGATGTATAACTTTAATGTATTTATTCTGCACGATGAATTTCGCGTTCATGAGAGCCACTGATCGTTTAGAATTCCACTTGCAAGATTTAACTACACGACTTTTTGAGAGAAAAGATTTTAACTTACTCCAACCTACAACTCCAGCCCTGCACATGAACTCATTCTGTGAAATAAGTGTCGTATCAAACACTTTAACGAGGTCTTGATACAGGTTATAAGCCTCAATACTCATCCAGACAATGGATGAAAGCAGGAAATAGTGCAGTAGCGAGGCTATAGCTTTGCACAAGTCCAATGAGTCAGAGTCTGTCATGCCATTGATTCCAAACGTGAACAGCAAGATGGCTGCCAGCAGAGACATACTCAAGTAGATCAGAATCTGATTTTGCCGAAGACGGCGAAGTTTCCTGAGAGAGAAATAATCACTCAGTTAAATCCCCACCCTATGAAGTGTTTTTCTCGACGTGCTTTGGCTAGCAGCTTTACAACTTTATTGCAAAAAAAGCTTTTGTATAATAAATAGGGTGATTCATGTGCAACATGCATGGCCGCCGTTTTATTGTTGTGGATACTATGGGCATTGAGATTGGTCATTTCGTTAACTATTATCTTAGTACGGTGGCATCAGCTTGTATCATAATTTTTTCTTTGTTGTGACCACCACGCATGTACAATAACAATTGTAATCCCGCCCAAAAAACCACCTCAACCGACTGTGCTAGTCGGTTCCTTGCTCCTCAAAGGGTTATAAGTTACCAAAATACTAAACCTAGAAAACAGATCGGTTCACTAAACTGTATACCTAGATAGGCAGATGGTCAAAATCAACAGAGTGAGCCCCAAAGCGGACAGAGTACATCCCACATAAGATATAGCGGAGAGAGCTTCCTTGTGTTTGTCTGGTATATCGTCCAATTTGCGTAGAATTTTATGAGGGGTGAAGTGGATTGGCTGTAAGATTTCTAGATAGTTCGTAACTGCGGAGGCAGGGACTTTCTGCAAAAAAAGTTTAAATATGAATTAATATGAATTAATTGATTACTAGTTTATTGATTACAATCGATTTGTAGTTTAATGGCACTCTGCACTGAGTTTTCATCCCATGAGATCAGAGCAAAAACAATTGTCTATGCGCTGCATAATCTCGTACCCAGATCTCACTCTGTTTTACCCTTAGCCGTGGGAGATCTGGGTCCGAGATTATGCGCTGCATCCAGCTTCGTGACACCTTAGATGCGTTAAAGGAGAATTCCGAATCAGATTCCTGAATTCAAGAATTGCATCGTAAGAGTGGAAAAAGGACTTTGAAACGCATTAGATAATAAAGATAGGACGAGATTCTGAGAAATCTTTAAGATCATTCTGAATTTAGCATTTCACAAACTGAGCGAATTAATAACAAAATTCGTTATACTATTAATGACTAATGATTAACGTGCCACTTACCTCAAACTGTAGTGATGTTCTGTTTAAAAGGACACTTGGGTATAGCTGAAAATGTTTCACGGATCTTAGATAATGCCAGAAGGCGCGATTTATCAGCACTTCCAGACCGTGGAGATTTCTTGATGGATCAGAAACATTGAAGTCAAGCCGTATCACCGTAACGAAATAAATACCTCTGAAAAGGAAAACAGTATACGTGAAATTGGTTTTATCCGGAATTTGAATGTTTTTTGTTCCAACCATGATTTAAGATCTTGGGGTTGAGAAATGATTCAATGGAATTTCAGTGTAAACAGCTTTCCTCTCTAGTCGGAAGGACTCAATTTTAAATTCGCGATCCGTAACTGCGAAAAACGTCGTCTGCTTTTTGCAGCTCTTCCAGATATTGATCTGGCTAAAATTGTTTTGTTTAATTGTTTGTTGATTTTTTCATTGGGGTAAAGGAGGAGATCTATAGCGGGCAAAACAGACTCGTACCCAGTCGCTATTTACATGTGTTTTTGGGGTGAGCGACTGGATAAGAGTCTGCGGGCAAAAGATATCTCCCAACATGCCCGTTCGTGTGCGCGCAGCCAATCAGAACACAGGAGTCAATTCAGGGCTCGTGGAATAAGCCATTCAATGGGGTGACAGAGTCATATTTAACAATTAATGAATGAGGCTGAGTATCTTATGAAGAATTATGGAGATCGTGGAGGGTGTTATTCGTCGAGGCCGTAGGCCGAGGCGGATAACACCCTCCGAGATCTCCATAATTCTTCATATGATACGAAAGCCGAATTTAATAACTGTTTTATTATTCATTCAAAATAATTCCTAGTTTAAAAACATAGCTAAAACATGCTTACCTCCATCGATCCAACGATGTTTAGTTCATCTTCGATAGTGTACGTTTAGATTTGTCCAGCTCCGCAAATATTCTCCAACTACCAGACGTCGCCCTTCGAGTTGTCTTCTTGCTGTTCTTGCCATGTTTTTAGCTATTTTTTCGCCTAGTTCTTACTCTTGAAACGAGTGAAATGTCCGCCATTTTTTCAAGTTCACAACAAAAACAACCCAACCTCGTCCCCAGGTCTTCTCGGTTAACGGTGCCTTAACCTGCGAAAACGCTGCATTTTTGACGTCATTTCCTCGTTAAAGTCAAAATTCTTCCAAATTTGGTCATCAGTCACTGGTTATGGTGAATTAAACGTGTGCTTTTAGCCAATCAGAATCGGGGAAATATTTTGAATGAATAATAATAATTGATAATGACTTACGTTTCCTCTTTTTGTGTTTCGGTATTGATGACTATCTTCTTTGTTGAGTTTATCTCCTGTCCACCATGCGAAGGTGCTCTATAAATAACCAAACAGAAAAGTTCAAAATTTCGTCTGATCATTGTTTTTGCTTTAGTTTTGTTTGTTTGTTTTCTTTTTTGTTAACTCTTCGCCAACTGCACAATTATGTGTATGTATGGAATGGTTTTCTGTAATTACTTTTACAATTTTGTTTTTGTTTTTGTTCTTTTTTTTAATTAAAAGCCATATAGTTATGTATCTTTTGTTACATTTAGATTTAGTTTCAGACTTTTCCAAACGCACGAGCGCAAAAACAAATTGCGATTGTGTAATAACTAGAACGTCCTAGAATACCTCTTTTGATTATTCTTTTGTCTTAATGATGATTGCCCTCGAAGTCTATAAGCAACACTGAAAACCTTTAAAATAATAATAATAAAATACTAATTAAGCTTTGCTCTTTTGGCATATTTCTATTTTATTTTTAGTTTCTTCACCTAAAGAAAACTCCCTCAGAAGTCTGATTAAGCAAGGTAGACTTGACTCTCCCAAATACGTTGACTTTTGACGAAAAGAAATTGAACATCTTCCAGAACTGCAATAAATTAAGACGAGAAAAAAATATCAATAATGAAAATTATATAAGACATCTAGCTTCATGTTGTACTAAAGACCAAAAGAAAGAAGTCTATATGTTGTTTGTAGTCTTTTTTTTATGACTAGGACTATTGGAAATGAAAAAAAAACTCTCCATTCAGCATTGTTTTGTCTCAGTTTGGGTGTAAGTGTCCTCGGTGACCGAAAAGAAACATCTCTCTAAATTTCCACCTTAATTTCATGTCTGACTTTGGTCAAGAGCCCCAAGCCTTTATAGTTAGTGCGCTGGTGCAATTTCCCGTTTTATTAAATAAGGATAATGTCCATAACATGATTAAACAGCAAGCAATGAATAATTCAGAGCTGTGATGTGTTTCGTGTCTGCTTATAGTTTAAGCTGAAACCAATGCAAATGACAGCAGGCGAGGCGCTCTTCTTGCTCTTTGTCGCGTGTTTCCATAAACGGAAAGCATGATCCCAACTCATCTTTTGGTTAACTTGTAAACGATTTCCACTCAAGCCTGAAACAATTACCTTCTTTAAAAGTTTTATTCCTCTGATAAAATCTGGTTTGAAAATTGCCATTACGGGATTCACCATAGCTAACATGGCTTAAACGCTTATCAATTCATTTACTCAGATTTCTCATCCATGCCTGGCTTTATCGTCAGAAGAATTTCCTTGCTCTAGTAAATTCTCAGGCTCAGAAATTTGGCATGGGCTTTATTCGGGGTCAATTTCTCCCCCAGGGATTTTTTTGTGGGGGGGGGGGGGGGCGGGGGGTTTTTTGAGGCCCTGTGATTTTTTGGGGTTTTTTTTTTTTCTTCCTTTCCTTTGGCTATTTCCCTCCCCCTGGAATTCTCGGAACCCCCGGGTTTTGTTTTGGAGTTCTGTTTTTTTGATAAAAANTATTATAGAATCAGTTTAAAATGAATTATAGGCTTGTTAAAAAAGAATCCCAAATTCTTATTTCTCTAATGAGAAGTGAAAAGGCAATTTGAGTGTACCAGAAACTGAAAAGGAAATTCAACTATTTTCCAGGGCGGGGGCCATTTTGAATTGTTACTGTCAGGTCATTATGTTTACGTTGCAATAGACCTTTTTACCGATACGGCGGCCATATTGAATTAATTCTATTTAAGGAGTATTATAGGATGTCCATGGGGCATGAGCACATTTCGTTTATATTTTCCAGCGCTTTTTGGGATATTTTTTCGTAAAGTTTTTTTTGAATAAGATTGTAATGGGAAAAAAGATCCTTGCGCCGTGTTTGGATGTAATAATGATCGCCTTTTTCCCGAGAAATATACAGTGAAAGACCATATTTCTAATACTAGACTAGAAAAAGGCGATCATTATTACATCCAAACACGGCACAAGGATCTTTTTTCCCATTACAACCTTATTCTAAGAAAACTTTAAGAAAAATGTCCCGAAAAAGCGCCCGAAAATACAAACGAAATGTGCTCATGCCCCCTGGGCATCCTATAATACTCCTTAAATTGAATTAATTCAATATAGCCGGCGTATCGGTAAAAAGATCTGTTAATCTCACCTGTTAAAATCCCAAATATTGTCATAAACAAAAGGCCTCGATGTCCATTTAACTCCATCCTTGGGTTTAACAAAATCTACAAAAAAAGAAGAATTTGTTAACGACTATATAGATGGTTTCCACGTGCTGACGTCACGGCGAAGTCATTAGTGTACAATCAAACGAAACGGTGGCTATATTGGTGTACAGGAAAAAAAATCCAGTAGGAATTAAAAATAACTCTTTTTTCATGTAAAAATCTTCTCATACTCAAAGAAATTTGCATAGCTGATGAACATGCAAGTGAAAGCGATGCATAGCTGAGGTCTTGATCGTTGCAAAAAGCGATGGTAGTTAAAGTGCGGTTATGGCCTGAGATATCCTTCGGAGGAACTTTTAGGTTGCGTTCGATTGGGGAATTCGGATTTAGATTTTGAAATTCGGATTTCGGATTTTGCAATCGAACGCGAAATCCGAAAACGGATTTCACCTCCGAGAAATCCGTCCCGAAGGGTGGATTTCAATTAAGAAATTCAAATCCGGATTTCATGGATTTCCCTTTTACCGTTCAATTGGGAAATCCGAAAAAGGATTTGCAAAACTATTCTCGTGAACAGCGGTCTTCTTTTTACTAATTATGCGTGCGCATACAAGACCGCTATTCCTAATGACAGTTTTTCAAATCCTTTTTTCGGATTTCCCAATCGAACGGTAAAAAGGAAAATCCAAAAACAAATATTTCAGCGTTGAAATCCGTTTTCGGATTTCGCGTTCGATTGCAAATCCGAAATCCGGATTTTAAAATCTAACTCCAGATTTCCCAATCGAACGCACCCTTAGTTGTCTTAAAAAATTACTAAGCATATTAAGTTTCTGTCTTATGAAGTGAACAAAATGTATCTCGTTAATTTACATCATAGGATAAGCATGTTTTACAAACCTTGCTGCTTGTGATTTGCATCATCTTAAATATCAAGACCGTTACGGTCGGGGAAGACTAAGCGATTATACATTTTATAGTAGACTAGGAAACTGTCTGTTCATCTTGACGAACCTAACCCCTGGAGTAGCTGAAAATTCAAATCTTACTCGCTTAGATTACTAGGAGACACCAAATGCAAAATGAGGCAAAGATCATATAAACCAGTCCCTCATTAAATTACGGGTAATTATAAACTTACGTCGCAGTTTGCACGATTCGCAAATTCAGTGCAAAGATCGTCAACTACTTTTTTTTTTCTACACTCAGATTAACAGAAATCATAAAGTAGTTGTGCTGGATGGCTAACGATAATCTGTTGCCTCTACTCGTCACAAATATAGCATCCTTCTCTTAAAATGTTGACAAACAAATTTCAGAAAAACGCTTTTTGTGATTAAAATTTCAAAATATTAAGCATTGCATACTATAAGATTTTTTCTGATAGTTGTTGCATGTTCGTCTAGATCTCATCACTTGCTCACCATAACCACAGCTGTAACCATTCAGATTTAAGTCTGATGTTTAATTTTTTCTAGCCTTCAGATTCAGGGTGAAAACAGTTTTTAAAAGTTGCTATATTTAGCCGAGATACACTGTTAACATACAATATAAATACTGAGCAATTCTGATTAACATTTTATGACCAGCGCAGATCACACTCAAGTGTTAAAATGTCAGGCGGAAGGCTGTTTGACGTCTTAGAGAATGATAACGAATTAAAATTATCTGCTGAGTGACGGTGGCCTAGAGAGATTCAAGGATCTTCATATTTGAAATTAAAAAT